TGGGCCCAGGAACGGGACTCGCTGGAGTCCCGTCTGGGGTCCACGATCCGCGTCGGGTCCTTGGCAGACCTGATGTTGGGAAGCCGGGAGGCGTGGAGGCTCGTCCAGGCGTTCGCCGAATCCGTCCTGAAAAGGAAGGAGGAAGCCGAACGCCTGAGGCAGCGGCAGCCGCGCCGCCCGGTGCAGGAGGACCTAAGGCGCTGGTTTAGGCCGGCGCCTTAGGTATTCGTGTGTTTATGTTTACGTGTTTGTGAGTTATTTTATGCCCCCTTCGCAAAGTCCTGCCCCCACCTCCACGCGGTGCAACCCGGGCAACGGATCCCGACTTTTGGGATCCGGCTAACGGGGGAGGCCACACCACGTTGTGAATCAGCTCTTGATTAATTTCGGGCTGATTCACAACGTGGTGGTGTGAGTTTTAGAGACGGCGTAGGACGCCCTGAGGTAATACCTAACGGTAGTTCCGAGGCGGCCCACATGTAGGCCGGTCGTGTTATAAAAAAAAAAAAAAAGGTATGACGTCACCATGACGGACTGCATCTCACCTGTGCACCCATTGATCCCCAAGAACAATTGTTGCGTAATTAGTCGGTACCTTTGAGGCTCGTAGCGCACCTATTGTTTTCCGAGAACAATAGCCCATTGTTCTAAGAACAATAGTTCATTGTTCTACGAACAATAATTGACGTCATTGTCGGCATCTTTGAAGGCCCGTACCCGCCATACATATACTACATTCTTATTTTACAAAATTTAAGAAACAAACAAAATTACATCGAAAGTTCTTTAAATTTGAAATACATAAAAATAATATAAATATTTCGGTTATAGGAATTTGATAAAAAAATTTATTGTTAATAAATAACATAAAAATGTCAAATAATTTTAAATTCTAGTACCATAAAATATTTTTTATTGTCATTAAAATTTTCAATCTAAAAATGAACTTTTTTATTCAATTTTAAGTTTAAGAATAGTTGAAGAAACATATTTGCATTTTAGCGATATCAAAAATCCCAAAAATACTTTTAAATATTTTGTTTGGCAAAAATTAAATATTTTAATTTGTCTACAAAGTAATTATTAACACTTAAAGTGTTAATATGTATTAATACGTATTTCCTTACAAATGTTTTTACTGACTATAAAATTATTAAATAAAAGTATGTTAAATACACAAAAAAGGTTATCAAGATATTTTGTACACCGCCTTTTCAGAGGGGTGTCGAAACCCTCTGATATCCTCCTTAGATACCTCTATGGTTACAGTATAAGTAAGCCAAAATAAAAGCTAAATTATAGATATTTAACGATATCTTTTTAAAAAATTAAAAACTAACTTTTCATTCTTATTATTTTTAATGTTCAAAGGATATAAGATTTATTTTATTTTATTATAAAAAATTTCAGGCTTAAATTATTATTTTTATATAGAATAAAAATGTGTTAATAATAAATAAAAAAATTCTGTCATAAAATTTAAATAAATTTTTACATATCATATGACAGTTATCTATAACTTAAATCTCAACAAACTCAACATTGAAAAATAACTTTAATTTCTCGCAGAATTCTTATACAATTTATTAAGTTTAAAAAATAAATTAGGTGAAAGAGTGGAATAAGTTGACTTTTGGGACCAGATGATCTACTTAGATTTAAAGAAATATGGTATTGTTAGCGAACATTATATTGAAATATTTTTAAATATATTAACCAAATAATAACAAATGTTTTGATAATAATTTGAATTAGCATATATGCTAAAATAATTAATATTTATAAATCGCCCTCATCTTCTTTTCAAGAATGATATAATATTGTTGTTTTACTGCGTAATGGTTTTAATTTGAGCGTGAATAAATAAATACATTTTTTATGTAATAGTTAAAAAACGTTATACTTAAAGGTATATCAAACTGATTTGCCCTTTTAAATATTTTACAATTCAAGTTTTTTAAATTATTCGATACAATAATTAAAAAAATTGTTTTTGATCATTTTTATAATTATTTATGAATAATTATTCATAAAAGAAAAAATGTTTGTACCAAACTAATGCATATTCTTTTAACGTCTTTTCAATCTGCATATTTAAAATTTAGAAACAATAAAAAATCTAGTAGTTTTTTCATACGTTAGTATAATACTTGTAATGACATATTTAAAATTTAAAACACTTAAAAAATAACACAAATATAAGACAATTGAAAATAAATAACAATAAAACAATACAATTAAAAATTTTAAAAATTTGACACGATATTATATCAAAATAAATATTTATCAAATGTGTAATCCTGTAAAGAAAAAATATTTGGATTAAAATATTATGAAATTACCGATTTTCATAATAATTAAAATAGTCAACATTATTAATTTTGTTTAATAATAATCACTAAAAAAAATTAGCTTTGGTTCAGATTTTAATTCACTAATACTAGCAGATAATTCGGACTTTAAATTAAACCCAAGTTTAGAAATATACTCCATGTTAACATCATAAGTAAAGGTAATATATTGCTCTCTAATATATGATATAAATGACTCCTTGAAAGTTGTAGAATTTATATAATTCTTTCGTAAATCTTTCAATTTTGGTATTGATGGCTCTTCTTCAACACAAAAATTATTTTCTCCCATTACATTTTTATTTATATCTTCTTTAAATTTCACAATAGGTTCAAGCATTTGATCAATAGCAGATTCAACTTGTTCATGTTTTTCAATATTACATTTCAGTACATTAAAACGTTGATCCATATCCTGACTACTTGTATTTTCATATAATTCTATTAAAGGCGTATCAAGAAACGAGACATCTACTATTTTCAGAGACTTCATGAATTGAATTGCCTTAAAAAAGATAATCGTCTTTTTTTTTATATTTTTTATATCTACATAAGGATACCGTGCGTCAATATCATTGAGTTCTGTATCGCATTTTTTAAACTCAGTTGCCATATATACAATATAGGTAACTAAATCAAGCAAATTATGAGCATACTTACACATAATTATCGAGCTTACGTGTTTATCCGTCAATATTATCTCATTTGAATTCATTATGTCATTATATGATAAAGACTTTCCATTTTCAATTATTTTAACATTTTTGAATAACTCCCAGCCTTGGTTTTTCGTTATTGTTTGGGCGAAGTTAGGACCATCATACTGTAAGGTCAGTTGACAAGTAAAAAATATTATCAAAATAAAAACTTGAATCATGATTAAAAAATCCGGTGTAACAACTTCAAATACGTTAAGTAATAATATTTTAATGAATTTTTTTTTTTTAATACGTCCCTTATAAAGTCAATAAAATCGATTATAAAACATATTTGTATCTATTTGCAGTTATTATTTTTACATAGTTATAATTCATTTAATTATTTGCTTCTGGTTAATTTAAACAGAATTATTTTAGAAGTTTAACAGATTCTTAAAGCCATGTTTTAATTGAGCTGCGGTTAACTATTATAACGAATAATTAAGTAAACTGCCAACAAGTTAGCAATTAGAGTGATATTGCATTGATAGAGTGATATTTTGGCAGTAGCCTAATGTATGTTCTAACATCTTTTCAATCTGTATTCTTGAAAATTTATAAATAATAAAATTTTATGTTTTTGTTTCATACGTTAGTATAATACTTGTAAAGACATATTTAAAATTTAAAACAATTAAAAAATACACAAATAAAAGACAATTTAAAACAAAATTATTTTGACACAATTTTATATTAAAATAAATATTAATTCGATATCATTAATAATACTTTAGAGCTAAATTGTGATGAAACAATAATATAACACTTTTTTCTTTATTTTCGAAGTAAAGCAACATACAGAAGTTTGCCATTTATACTAAAGAATGCAGTAATGATATTATCCTTTGATATTGTGATATTTTTTTTGGGGATAAGTTCTTGCCCTCTATAATAAATTCAGAAAACTATAATTATTGTTATATAAATATATTATTTAGGATAGGAAAAAATTTTATTTAACTCTGCTTCATTTTAGTATTTTAGATAATCAATTGATTTTTTTAAATTAAAACCCGCATATAAAGACAAAAATGTATGACATTTCCAATTTAACTTATATGTTATTATCTATTTAAATAAAAAAAAGGTAAATTTTTTCAACACTTAATTAAACTAGTTAAATAGAGAAATTAATTTAAAAAAAGGTTAATTTTTAATAGTCTAGTTTTTAATTAATTATTATTCACCTTTAAATAATTTATTTAAGGCGAATACGAATATAAAGAACATTAAGTGGCTGTAGAAAAATCAATTTTTGACCATACAATCCAGTAGTATACCTAGCGAATTAACGTAAAAAAGCGTACTATAACATATATTATTCTTAAATACGAACCAAAAAAAAAACCTTAATAAAAATTGTAATATAAAGGCCAGTAATATAAAGAGCTGGACCCAATCTGGATGGGTATAAAATTTATTTGGACTGGGCTCGAGTGGGTATAAAAATCAAGACGGCCCATGTTTAACATAAATGCACTTAGCCGCAATAAATTCAAAAATGATAAAAATACAAACTTAATCGAGCTACCATAGTTTTTCATAAAAAAATAAAAAGTGCAATTGTACAATATACACATGCAATTCTTACTGAATATTTAGGTATTTTAATATAACTAGTAATATATGATCAGATTATATTTTTAGCGATAAAATCTTGAGATTATTTTCATGAAATCTGCAGTTTATTGGGATTTGTAATTATTATTATATATATGATAAAATATTTGATGGACTGGGCTTAGGGCCTAATAAAATATATTCAAGTGAAGAACATAACCTGGAACGTTTGTCAACTGACCAATGAGCCGACTCTGGTAGGTACACTAAGAAGATTTAAAGGATTAGGTGTTTGCAATCTACTAATAACTATACATTAGTAAATTGAAATAGTACACCAACCCATAATTATTGTATTAGATTTAATTTTTAAAAAATAATAACAAACATGTAAAAATTTATAATTTTTATTAATTAAATTAACATAATTTAGAATCATCATATTTAGACATGATTTGAAGTGTTCAATTTATAAGGAATAATTAAAAAAGAAGAAAAACAACAAAATTATAATTTAAAAATAAAAAACAATTTGCAAAGCAAAACAAAACTTAAATATTTAGGTCTGTCTAAATATAAATAACAGTGAAATATGTTTGGTAATTAAACTTCTATATTTTCAAAGTAATTATTAGCCTATTGGTTTTTATTAACTAGTGACTTTATGCATAGCACTAGCTAGATAACCAACATTTTTACTAGTAACACCTGCCATTGATATACGTCCATCGTTAGTTAAATAAATGCTATGTTCTTCAATTAATTTTTTTACATGATCTTTTTCTAAACCGGTATAACAAAACATACCAATTTGATCAGTAATGTGATTCCAGTTTCTAGTAGAACCTTCTTTTGCAAGTAATTCCTTTAATTTATTTCTAACTGATATAATTCTATTTGCCATACCCTTTACTTCTACCATCCATTGATTTTTAAGTTGAGAATTAGATAATATCTCAGAGACGAGTCTTGCCCCATGAATTGGTGGATTTGAATACATTCCACGAACTACAATTTTGAGTTGAGACATAATTCTTTCAGCTTCTTCAGTATCTAAAGAGGTTAATGTAAACATACCTACACGTTCTCCATACAAACCCATATTTTTGGCAAATGATTGAGCTAAAGCAATTTGATGACCATCTAATAAAAATGTATGCACAGCTAGAGCATCATGGTCAACATTACCTGAAGCAAATCCTTGATATGCCATATCAAAAAATGGGAATAACTTCTTTTTTTTTAATAAATCAGATAACTCTTTCCATTGTTCAGGCTTAGGATCGACTCCAGTTGGGTTATGGGCACAAGCATGAAGTAAAATAACAGATCCAGTAGGGGCTGATGATAAGTCTTCAATCATTCCAGAAAAATCAAGACCACATGTTTTTGGATCATAATATCTGTATGTTTTTACTTCTAAACCAGAAAACTTAAATATTTGCCCATGATTACCCCAAGTTGGGATAGGAACCCAAATAGTTTTAAGAGGAGCATATCTTTGCAAAAATTCACCTCCCACTCGTAAAGCTCCAGTTCCAGATATTGATTGAACAGATGCATAACATTTGTTTTTTACAATGGGAGAATTATCAGATAATGCCAATTTAATAGACTCTGTACAAAATTCAGCAATACCATTAATTGGTGCATACTCTTTGTTTAAGTTTTTTTTCATAATATTATGTTCAGCTTGAATTACACTAGGTAAAACATAAGGGTTTCCATTGTCATCTCTATATGCACCTACACCCAAGTTGATTTTTTGTGGATTTTTATCGCGCTTAAAGGCTTCAGTAACTCCTAAGATAGCATCAGGAGGTCCTTGTTGTACATTAGACCACCATGATGACATCATTCTAAAACTTCCTTGTTGCTTAAATAAAGCAGAAGATAATTGCTGGCATTTTGACATGGACATGGTTTAAAATGTGAAGTATGATTGAATGCAGAATTAAGTACAGTATCACAAATAGTATCTATAAAATGAAAAACACAAAACGATTTAAAAACGGAAAACATAACAAAATCTTAAACATAATCACTGTTATAAATGCAACATATCATGACAACAGTTGAATAAATTACTAGATTACATCAAGTAATTTATAGACTCACGCAAAAGCAATATTTTAGTACCAAATCACTATTAATTAAGGAAATTATTCAAAGGACTAATATTTTTCCGTTATTTTTCAATCTAATAATATAAAGACTAAAATTTAGAAACTATAAAGAACTAAATAATTATAACTCATGGATCAAAAATAATTAATTTTTTTATAATATAGTATAACACATTGAATTCAAACATTTGGATGATATTGACTATTTATGATAAGTAACGCATAAAATCTAACATTATATTCGAAATTATAAAAAATAAAAGGAAAAACTAACATTTATTTTAAACCAGAGGTAGACAAAATATTAACCAAATCACATTTTAATGAATGAATTCAATAATTTAGATAATTCAAAACACAATTTTTCAATATTTTTAAATTTTAATAATAATTTAATATTTCATAATGACAAATAATAATTTTTTTTAATAAAAATTCAATTATTTAAATCATTATATTTCAAAATTGAAACACTTTCACTTACAAGTAGTTTTACAATAATCAAAATTGTAATGAAAAAAAAAGGATATTAACTTACCTAATTTTTTTCAGTAGTTCCAACTATTTTTTGTGCTCTTGACCAATTGAAATAGTGTTAATTATTCAGAACATTAACAACGACATTAGAATTTATCAAAAGATATTAGTTACGGATATGTTGTGTTGAAGAGGTTAAAGCCAAAATTTTTAATGTTTAACAATAATACATTATTATAACATAACCTACAAAAATTTGTATTAATCGTCATGATCAACATTTTAATCATATAGAAGTTGAAATATTTAACCATGGTATTAGTTAAAAGCCGTTTATTTTGTAAACAACTCTAACAATGATAAGAATAACCGACTGATTAAATTTTACAAAGTGTGATTATAAAATCGGTTTATTATATTTTAAGTTAATTTTGATAGAGTTTGTGGAGTTTTTTTTTTGAGCCATGGAACTTATTAATAGTTATGTAGTGGCTAGCCGATTAGTTTTACAAGCAGATTCTACAGATCCAGTAAGCTGGCAAGAATTACATACACTGTTACTTTACCTACATGATAACTTATTATGTCAAGTATGTGAAAAGTTAATTGATGATTCTTATTCTCATCCTAAAGGACTGATATGTAAATCATGTGCTAAAAATCTTAAAATTGAACAACCAACTTGGTCAATCATTCAGTTTTACAAGAAATTATGTTCTTATATTCATAAATCGCCTTTATTTAATGCAATGTGCATAAGGATTGAAGATAATTGTCTTGTAGAACTAATAATTAAAGTATTAGGTTTACCAAAAACCACCAATCATAATGGATGGATTTCTAATGAAAATTTTGAAGGATTAGAAAAACACATTAATAATGATCTACATTTACCATCTGATGTTCAATTATCTGTTGATGATTCAAGAAAAAATGGGATTTTAAATTTACAAATATTATCAGATGTTCGAACAAAAAATGATAGGATTCAAGTTCAACAAATACAAAATATTATACCAAAAAAAAAGGTTTTTTTTTATTTATTTATTATATAATATAAATTATAATATTTTATAAATATTTTTTCAAATAATTAGTCACTTATTCTTTTTTTTTTTTTAGAAGACTACTCGGCGTTGGGGTTGTCGCTGTGGTAATGCAACAACTACACCTGGAAAATTAACCTGTTTTGGTCAACGCTGTCCTTGTTATATTGAGCAAAAGTCATGTGATATGTGCAAGTGTCGAGGGTGTAGAAATCCTCGCCCTAAACCAACAAATGATGATAATAAAGAAGTTGATAAAATACGTCGAAAGCCTGTAACATTAGAGCTGGTATCATCTTTAAAGCCTTCACATATTAAAAGCAAAACGGTATTCAAACTTTTATAATAGTAAAGTATTTAAAAAGAAAAAAAACTAATAAATATTATATTTTTTTGTTTTAGACTTACACAATGAGTGAAATATTACAATTTCCAACACATAGTAAACATTTTGAACAAGATACTGAAGTAACTTTAGGTCGTGTCAACTCAATTTTTCATTCTCCTTAGTGAGCTGTTAAGCTGTTAATTGAGAATGTATATCATTTTTTAAAATCAAATGGATTAATAAACCTAAGTTACATTTTAAAGTATTCCACAAAATTTACCTTTTAGTTAATTAGGAAAAATTAATTAATTTTTTTGTGTAACTATAAAATTAATATAATCATCATAATACACTTGCTATATTTAGTATTTTAAATCCTATTTATATTTATATAATTTTTTTTTATTGTATAATGTATACAAAGATAAAAACTGCAAATTATAAACAAGTCCTGAGAAATTTAAAGATAATTGCATGTACTATTTAATGTTACCTCTCTCAATTCTAATATATGAAAAGGTTTATGAATGTATTAATCTGCTTTAAAGAATATTTCATTTATACCATTAAATATATAGATAATTTATCTGTGTATTCAAATATATATACAGGTACAAATTTAGGTTGACTAGAGATCTTTAAACTCCTTGAAATTTTCCATAGCTTGATTTTAGATAGATTTTTTTTTAATGTATGTGCACTTATATAACAACTCATACAATTTTATTTTTAGAGAGGCTATGTCAAATTTTGAGAAGTTCTAAAGTCTCTAGGCCCTCACGACTTTACTTGCAAATAAATTTATATTTTATTAATATTAAAAAAATAACTATACCTACTTTGACAAAACAACTTCATGGAATAAAACTTGTACGTAATTTTATATTACATTGTAAATAAAATCTAGACATTTTATTTTAAAAATTAATAAAAAAAATTGTTATTAAGTGAATTATTTTAAAATATGTATTTATGTTTTATTAGTATATTATATGATATTATTGTAAATTGATAAACTATTATTGTTAACTAGTCATTAGGAATAAATTATATGTATTAAATTATTATTATTTTTAATTAATTAATTTTAGCTTGAATGTTTTAGCCAAAACATTGGAGTATTAATTTTTACCCAAATTACTCAAGATTTCATTCTAAAGAAAATATATGTATATATATGCATATTATATCTAGATTTTTTTTAATAATTTAAATCTAAAATACTGTTATTCATTATTTAAGATTTTAGATCATGAACCAAAAATTAATTATTCACATTCCTGTATATACTGGAAGAGATTTCTGTTTTTTTATATGCAAATATAAAATAACTTTTTGAAATTTATTTTGAATGTTTTCTAATTTCTAATATCATAGTGATTTTGTAGCATTTTGATGTGACTGGATATACTACTTAAATACTTTAAAATATATTTGACATATATATTTTTGGTAATTATAATTACCTTTAATAGGAGGAAGAATTTCAAATTGGCCAAGTTCCATTAAATTTTGTCAGTCACTTCAAAATTAAAAAAAATAGATTTTCATTATATAAAACAGAATATTTTTATTATTATACCTATTTATAAATTTATCAGGAAAAAATACAATATATTTTATAAAATGCTTATACCATTTTTAATACATTTTACAGAGCAATTCATTTATAATTAATCAAAAAATGTAAATAATATTGAGAATTTTTCTTTCTTATAAATACATGTTGAACTCATTAAGAAAATAACTTGGATTTATATTTTGATAATAATTCACATTTTAAAATATAAACTAAAGGTGAGACACAGGTGTTGTTATTTTTATTATTATGCATTTCTCTCCCATACAAGTACAAATATTCTTATTAACCATTTTCTTGAATATATCATTATCTATTAAATAAGCACATAATGAACCTACAGATCCGAGTGCATGGGCACATTTATAATAAATCACTCCACACTCAAAATTATTATTGGACAATTATATAACTATTGTTTTATATATGCATGTAATAAAATCTGATAGTATAAAAAATTCGTGCTTATACTATACAGAAAATTAATTAGTTTTTGAAAAACAAATTTTTAATATTTTATACAGAATTTTTAATATATAAATTCATTAGAAAACTACATTATTTTTATAAAATGTTTTCAGAAATTGAATAAAACAAAAAATTATTATAGCTTTTTAAAATAAAGCTTAATTTACTACAAAATATACAACTAACCCTTTGAAGTCCCACAGACAATTAACATCTTCTAAATAAGTAATGGCAATTGGATTGAGAAGAAATATTTATGAATAAGAAATATTAAAACAAAAATGTATTATGCAAGCATAAGTTTTGGCAGTTTATTTTTTATGAACTGCGAGCCTTTTCTAATATTATATACACAAAAGTTCATTTGAAATTAGGATTTAAGATATTGGTTTTACAGTTAGATACACTTAAACTATACTTAATTAAAATTGGGGTAATAAACATCACAATTTAATTATTAATTAATATTTTTTGGTTTCTTAAATTATTTATTGTACAAATGTTAATGCCAGTACATTAATTTTAACATAAATAAATTTAAACAATATTAAAAATGTTTAATTTTTTTTGAATAAATTCATAATTTTTTTACTAAGTAAAAACATATAAAATTAATAATTGTGTTTTATTATGGTACATTAAAAAGCAGTATATCAATTATAACATAACTTTATAACTAAAAATAACCCCAGTAATCACAGTCGCTTTAAAGGAAAAAGTTAGTTTGTATAAACATAAGTATCCTATAAATATTATATTTGTATATAAAATATACATACACATATTTATTAAAAGTATTGTATTACACAAAACAAAAAGATAAAAAACAGTTTAAATGTGAGATAATAACTCTTGACATATTTTAATGAAGTACCATATTGCTAATTTTTACAATTGTAATTATGAGCTTGCTGTCATTTCTGTAGGAGTTCTACATAGTAAATTTCGAACGAAGCCTCTGTAAAAATTAATAAATATTAATATTTAAATCATTTAAATGAATAACTGTTAAAAATGTTTAAAAATGATTCATGTTTGAATGAGCATTTGTAATTGACATTAAAAACAAATAGTAGTAAAATTATGTTTATCAAAAAAATTTTAAAAAAGTTATCATGTCTTAGATAGACATGTTGAATTTTTCATTAAATAGGTTTATGATTTATAAATTTAATTGTGAATAATAATGAATACTAACATTTATTTTCAAACCTCTAAACAAGGGATATTTTATTATAATACATCAATGATAGAATTACGCAAATTAATAATTGTTATCAATTTTAACTTAGCCATACATCAAACACTTGTAGTTAACATAAAAAAATATTTCTAAAATTTTATAATATTATATATTATATTATATCTATAAATCTTAAAAAATATTATTATTTGTAATCCCAAAACTTATTTTAAATATAGTCCTATAGTGTAAAAATTGATTTAAAAAAAGGTAAAAAATGTTATGTAAATCATAAATTATGAGTTGTCAGTTAGATTTGTTCCACCTTATATACTAGTATAGTTTTTACACATTAGTTTCACTAATGTGTATTTAAAATGTGTACTTTGCCTGCACTGCATACCTATTATATTTATCAAAATGCTTGAAACTTAATAATTACTTGTCTTAAAACTTCTATGCATCATCAATACTTTTTTTAAAAAAATCCTAAAAGATGGCTATTTTGAAATTTTGAAAAAGTTATAAAATATAATAATTTAACTTCTTTTTATTACAGACAAATAAAAAATATGTATTTAACATAGAGAAAATCCAAGAAAATAAAAATTGTTTAAAAAAATATTTCAGTGAAATTATAATAAGTCTTAGAAGAATTAATAGTTAGATCTGTTCCACTCAGTATACATATACACAGAATGTCTAAAACCTGACTGACAACACATAACTTTTGATACAATTATAATTTAGATAAAATTTATTTTTTTAACAATTTTTGCATTCTTAAACTACATTTAAAACATATTTTATTAAAAAGGCAATAATTATTTTTAAAAAAATGTTCAACAAAATTATAATTGTAACAAAAGTTATAAGCATTATTAGTTATGTCTGAGATCATACGTACATATATTTTTTTACATTTAATATTTATTAATAGCTATTAGCCCGTATTAAAAATTAAATTAAAGCTAAATTAAAATATAGCTTAATAATATCAAGCTTTATAAACATAAGCAAATAATAAATAATATATAATTACAGTTTAAATTTACAATATTGTTATATATATATGGACAAATACAAATAGATTTTTAAAATTCACAACATTTACCTGAGTAAAAAGTTTTGACGTCCATCTGATACAGATGGATTGATTATGCTAACAGTATTACCAAACCGCACTTCATTTGTAGTAGGACGCGATTTTGTAGTTGAGGTTGACATATCAATGTCTTCAGTATTACCAAGAACTCGTCGCATTAAACCAGCAGTTAATTCTTCTAATGAACTTAAAGATAGGTTGTGAGGTTGATGTGAATGTGACTGTGACTGTGTTTCTTCAATACCATCAGTCGAAGTTTTCTGACCAGATCGCATTGACTCTGTCTCACTAGTATCAACTCTAAAAAAAAATTAAAATAGAAAAAAAATTTGAAGTTAAATTCAAAAAATTTTATTTAAATATTTAATAGTTAGATTTGCATAATTTTAATATTTATAAATAGACTATATAGTCTACAATAGGATTATTTATTATTTATTAAAATACCATATTTTGATTCATATATAACATATGGAAAGCATTGTCCCTTTATTAGTTTATTCTTAAGTATTTTTAAGTATTTAATAGATATTAATATAAAAATTTACATGAATAACTTCATTATTTATTAGTAAAAGTATGAAAATTTCAATTTTATGTATTTATAAAGAAAACCACAAATTATTGTAATTTTTAAGAGTTTCAGCAACCAAATTAAAAAAAAAGTTGATTAATAAGAGGAACAACATTTGACTTTACTAAAAAAGAATCTTAACTTTTTTATTTAATTCATAAAAATTACAAAATTGTCTTCAATAATATCAATAATAAATTAATAATAAAACTTTAAAAAAAAATACATAAAGATAAAAAATTATTAATTACTTTTGGGCTAATAAACTTCCAGCTAAAGCAACAGTACTTGCTGATTCTCTATCGGCATCTCTACCAAGAACAGTTTCACCATCCCAATCATTCCAAAAAGATGGTTCACCAATTGAAGGGTTGCCAATTTCAGCTCCATGACTTATGGTATCACCATCTATTGAATAATAGATTATTTTATAACAAAATTAATAAACTTAAATTAATAAAAAATATTGAAGTTAACAATTATTTAAACCCACCTGCACTAGTAAAATAATCTGCATTCACGTTTTTGAGTGTATTGTGATCTTCATCAAAATCAAAATGTACTCCACTGGCTGATGTTGTGACACCACAACCACCAGAACGACATAATGAAACTGGTACAACACCATATACATAGAATAATAGTATTGGTACACCAATTCCAACAGCAAGACTAGCCATAACTGGAGCAGCAACTAACTAAAATTTAGAAAAATGAATTATTAAAAAATAAATTTATCATATTATTATTATTCTACCTATACAGAATAAATATAAATGTTATTTTTAACAATAAAATTATATATCAAAACAAATTTTTTTTATTACAAATTTTTTACCTTTCATCAAAATTTTCAAATAATATTGTAATTTATTATTATTATTAAATTTAATTACGTGCAGAACAAGTGCAGGAAAACAAATTTTAAAAAGTTGGACTACTTGAGAAAAATTTCGAATTTAACTTTGATCTTGGCATAGTTCAACTACAATTTTAATTAATTTCCTAGTCAGATGTAGCTTAATTGTACACAACATACAACAAATCCTGATGCAACAAGTTTTTTATTATCTGTAGGGTAATTATTTCAAATATTTTTTTTGTTAATTACTACCAATAATTTTTTTATATTTAAAAACATGTGATACATGTGTAAATCATTTGGAGTTCAGTATACGATGTCCTATTAGATTACTAAAAAGAACTACTCGTTCAGTGAAGGATCTTATAATCTTAACTCCTAATAGCTTTAGGACGACCCAGGCTCATAGTCAAAAATATATTGAGAGGAGATTTTATTTTTGCCGATTGAATATTTTTTTTTTAATTGTGCAACTTTTTTATAATAATTTTTTTTCACACCCTCAAGACGATGCCAGAGCGTGCAGTCCAAAATTTTTGCGACACTTGATGACTTGAATTTTTTATTCAATCCATTTTTAGTACATATTATTGTTATCATATATGAATTATTTGGTTAGATTATTAAATTTTTAATTTAAATAATTACCTTTTTGTTTTGATATTATGTTTGTTATTTTAATATATTATGTTTAGTTTATTAAGTGTACAGATAATTCCTGTCGAAATTAAATTTCTTTTAATTATATTTATAATACAAAATTTGTCGTTTTATGTAATCAAATTTATTGTTATATAGGTATTCTGTTTGAACTTTATAATCAGATTACTGTTTTAATGTACTTTTATTGCTTTGAATTTTTTTTTTTTTTATTGTCCATTCAGAGTTTATATTAGGATACGATTTTGCATTTGCGAATATCACTATATTTTGTATATTTTATCAAGGAATGTTATATATAAATTTTAGGACGGTTATATAAGTGTATAAATTTATAAATGCATTATCAAAATAGTACAGTATTAATAATCTTATTTATCTCATATATGATGTATTAGTCTATGAGTTTATCGTAAAAATTGGAATCTATCTATGACAACAATGTTGTCACAAACGTCAGATCACAGTAACAAATATTCTTATCAAAATTGAATTTTTACATAGTCCCAGGAATAATAACCCGCCGAATTTTTTCGTAATTATTCTATAATATTAATAATACATTTATTTTAAGTAGAATATTAACAATTATTATGTATACCCATATCCCCCTTATAGTTAAGGGTGATATGGTCGATTGCCCTCTTTGAACCAGGGTTATCAATATTTTTTTAGACGACTTCTAAGAAATATGAACCTAATAACCTTTTTTTTTTGATCATTGTTTTGATTTTTAACAAAAAAATTCTATAGTATGTTTAACAAAGTAAAAAAAATGAAATACCCTCCTAAAATAATTTCTGAATAAGCCCAGGGGAATATCTCAGTAACAAACATCAACCTTATACCAAATACATTTTACTATTTTCCCTTTTTGAATTTTCCTGATTTTAATGAGTAAATTTTCAATATATTTTTATTACGCTGATTTCGATGTAATATTTTTCCTGCAAAACACTTATTGTATCCGTCGTAGCCGAGTCTCCTACTGGAATCAGTGGCCTACTTACGAGGCTTATGCGACGAAGGCGCGTGAGGCTCGTAGGGCCCCATGTCTGGGGCGGAGTCCCAGCTAGGCGAAGCTTAGTGTGTTAATATTAATGGAAATTGAAATCTTGGTCTTAATTTCTATTATATTATATCTGATCCTGAATAATTTCCGTTATCAATATCAGAAAGTAAAAAATTAAGGTTATTCAAATTTTATTTATTTTGTTTTCACCATGAAAACTTAATTATTTCTTTATTTACTATCAATTATTTATAATATGATAAAAAGGTAATATAATTTTAAAATGAACTATGAACAGCCTTGAGTACATCAGCATATTTCTGAATGTTGAAGTTTTTCTTTAAATTACGCCACGGTACTCTAGTTTACTGGTATTGATGGGTCACGCAGATGACGTACACGGAGCAAGAACCAAAACGATAAAAAATGTGGCTGTAAAGTAAATGCGAGGGAGTTGTGCAGAGAAGGCAACAAAGGACACAGTATAGAAGAAAAGCGGGCGATACATCGAAGGGGGAGTACTGTTGGCCTCTGTGCGTTTTCCACGAGAGTGCGGGGAGTGATCGGAGGAAAAGCAGAGGCAGGGGATGCGGGTCGTCGACTCACGCATCCGATTTACCTACATCGCTGCCGCCACGGCGCAGTAACGTACGAGAATAGTAGACCAAAGTCGGGCGCATAGTCAGACGCCGTGCGACCGCAGTTCAGCATGTCGTCTGCCGCTGACCAGATCTCGCAAAAGGAACAACGACAGCCACTGCCAGCCGATCCGGACTGGCTGTCGGGCGTGATAAGTCGACTGATCGACAAACCGCAGAACGCGGTCACAGTCATCACTGATGAGACTTGTACCACGCCCGCCGTAGCCGATCCTCACAACGTGCTCAGTTCCATAGTAGCCGTTCACATCGTCTACAGCGTTGAAGGTTTTCAGGGTACACAATCACTGGACGTGGTTATCAAGAGCTTACCGCAAGAGCCTTATTCTAGAGCGTTTGTACTAGAAGCTCAGTTCGACTACAGAGAAGTGCACTTTTATAACACGGTATGTGGGCTCATCTCCTATCGCACGATAAATTTTAAATCGATTCAACGTTATCAAAAAGCGAGTCTAACAATATAACAAAAAAGAATTACATTTTAATAAAAACGAGGTTATCATTGTTCTCCTTTTTTACCTACGCTCGGCTTTGGTTAAAGTAGAAGTTATGGTTTTTTATAACGATGTGATCACCAAGCGTAATTAGTAGACCTTGAAGCCGAGACTACTGTAACACTATCACATAGACTATTCATAGTGTTGATGTTTTAAATAATTACATACAAATTTTAACTGTAAACGGTTGAATTTTAAGACACGGAGACAATAGAATACGCCAGCAACCCTGGCTAATTTATTTCATTCAATTTTTTTAGATAATTTTCTATCGACCCAACCCAACCGTACCACAATAATATCTAATAAAATACAACACCTCGATTGATTTATAAATAGAAATAGTAATAATTGAAGTAAACTATTAGAAAAGTATGTTATATTTAATAATAATTAAATAATAATTCGCATTGGAAGGTCAATCACAGCTATTAGGCATATAAGAATGTAATATTTTTCCTTAACGTTAAAAATACATTAACAACAAGTATTTTATGTATTAAACAAGTGATGCTACACAAACTAGAGAATCACTCTCAATAAAATTTATAATTTAATAATCTGGTTATGATATGCATTCCCGGAAGTCCAATAAAACATTTATTGTAAATACGTTTGACAATTGTAATACTGACCTATTACAATGATAAATGTAAAAAATGTCAAATTATAGTTTCTATTAACTTCCTTATTTTTCAAAAAAAAAAAATAAATAAACTGAATTAACTGCTAATAATGGTTACCTTGTGTAGTACATAATTTATTTATAATACAGTTATTTATTATTTGGTAATAAAAAAAAACATCTAACATTATTTATTAGTTTATACGTAACCACCATTTAATATAGACACAATTTTAATAATAATTTAGAAAGTTAAGATATAACGACATGCTTGTATACCAATAAAACATGTTACACAACACGATGTAATATAAAAGTTTAAGGAAGTAATATCAATATATTTAAATATATCAAACAAAATTTGTAATTGATGAAAATATAATCCTATAATTTAATGCACAGAAATATGTTATATTGAACTATATTTTTATTTTATTTTCAGGTGCTAACTGAATTAAAAGACCTAGAAGAAAATACACTTCAACTAAACGACCGGACCACGATGGGTGACATGCCAATAGCTAAATGCTACTTTGCCGGTATGAACGCCAACGGTCGTGATGAATCTATGCTAGTACTAGAGGACCTATCTAAACGGGGCTTTACGGCAGCCGACTTTACCACGGGACTGACATTTAAAGAAGCAAAACTTGCCTTACGCTCCATAGCCCGTATTCACGCGACTTCGTTGGCGTTAAAGCTTAAACACGGACCATTAACAGAACGCTGGCCGTTCTTGTTTCAGACTTGCCGAGCAACGTTATCGTACCAGGCATTGGTAGAACGAGGCATGCCACAACTTCACGTCTTCCTGCGGTCCAAGGGTTCACAATACGACGGACTGATTAATACACTAAGATCTATATGTCGCGTCACAAAACAGATCATTGGAACGTTGATGATACCTAAAGAACCGATAGGTCTCATGACACATACGGATTTTTGGTGTAATAACTTAATGTTTGGCAAACAAGACCAATGCGTTATAATAGACTGGCAAATGATATCCTACAGCAGGCCCACTAACGACGTAGCTCTTTTATTGGTTAGTAGCTTGTCAACAGAAACGAGAAGACAACATTCGAGTGAATTAGTAGATTGTTATTGGGAGACATTTACAAACCATGCCAACAAACTTGGAGTGGATATAGAGGGCCAACTAGAATATAGTCGAAATACTTTAGATGAAGACATGAGAGAATCTAAACTGTTGGCTGTATTATTGTGTATAGGTTCAGTAGACGTCGCTTTGGGTAATAAAGACACCGAACAGAGATTACTGGATTTATTGACCGACTTGCAGGATGAAGGAGTTTTTAGCAGACATTTAACAGAAATTTCGGCTTAGATTTTCTTAATAAAATGTATTTTTAACTATGAATTATCTTGAAAATTATAGAGCTTCATAAATTAGATAAAACATATTTGTTACTTTTTAAGTATTTATTGTAACATTACACAGTTAATATTAATTGTGTAAATTATATTATCCAATCAAATCTAAGACACCAGTGCAATATTAATAGACTTCTTTATAAAATAAGTACAATGTTACTAGATTATAAAAAATTTTAACTAACAACATTTTTTTACATTTATTATCTCCAATAACAAAAGATAAAAAAAAGGTTTTTCTTGATTTATCATATAAGTGTAGTGCTCTAAAGAACATAGAAAATTTTATGATTAAAATTTTTTGGAAATTCATATTCTTTTATTTAACTAATTAAAATTGATTATGTAATGGTGCTGTCCATGCCATGTAATGTGATTTTATTTATTAATAAATATATAAATGTTAACACATTGAGTATTTGTTATCCTTGTATCAAGTCAACTAATTTATTTTCAATAATAAAATTATTGTTATATATGAAAAAGTTTTAAATAAAATTTAGAAAATCTATTTTATTTGAAATTTGTATATATTATTTAATTATACCAGATATTACAAAATTGTAGTTAATTTTTACTAACTACACTAATTTTACAAATTGTTCTCCTTTTATTTAATTACTTATAATGAGTCCTCCTTTAAATTTATTAAATTAAAGCATAATACACTAAATAAATAGATTTCAAAAAATTGTTGAGAATCAAGTTTTTTTTTTTTAATTTAGTAAAAGAAGATAAAAACTTACTGCAGCTAATACGCCTCCAACAATTGCAAAATTACGTTTCAGTCTACTTGAAAGTTTATATCGAGTATACATTTTACGTCCAGTCCAAACAGGAACACCTGAAATCAATAACAACAATATTTAACATAACACACAATAATTTTTTATAATTAAACACTGACAAACCTATAATTATAGCAGGTATTGCAATTCCAGCTATCAAACCAATGCCAGCTGGAGCACCAATTAAAGTACCTAATTGCCATAACAGCTTTTTTTTGCGAGACCATGGCTTTTTACCCCAAAAAGTACAACCAGATGGGCTGAAAATTATGATCATCATAATTTATATTATACATAATTGTTACTTTTTGTGATTCATCCAGGGTTTGAATGAAAATTGTTTTTTTCATTTAACATTTTTATTATTTAATTATTTACAAATTTTTTCTTTTAACATTACTATTCTTTTATGTTTAACGTTAAAATATTTTTAATCTATAATTTACTACCATAAGCAGTGATTTAAATAAGCAATTAATTATTTTTTCCTTAGATAAATTTTTTTTTATGCAACATTTAAAAATAATTCATTTTTGTTTTAATAAGAATTATTTTATATTATAGGTAGTATGATGATTGACAATATTTTATGTTCATTGATATCACATATTTTTGGATTTTTAATTATATTTGACAACAATTTTTGTTTTAAATATTATAAATTATATGTTAATTATTACGTTTTCTTGCCCTGGATTCATCTACTCATTTGATTAAAAATAATTTTACCTCAAGTAGTGTAAATCACTAACTACTTTCATACATAACCAACAAAACTCAGCACCACAAACGGCACAAGTCATATGGTTACATGAACCATCATCCATTTTAACAATTAGTACTTGACAACGAGGACATGGCTTAATATCTTCTCCTAAAATCATATTAAATTAAACATTAATAATTTAACCAAAAACACAATTTAGGTGATTAATTTAATGATTAATAATACTTTTAATAATTCTGAGGTATAATAATAGTGTTAAAGGTTTAGCACACAAAAGAAGTAATTACAAATAAAAATATAAATAAAAAATTTTCTAAGATCTCAAATGTTATATTGTCATAGAAGATAATTTTAGTTCAATATTTTAAAATATTCTAAAATTTTTGGAACGTAATTTCACTAATAATGTACAAAAAGCTTTGTTCTCTGTTTTTTCTACACCCTAATTTGATTTGGAAAAAATGAAACTTATCACTTTTGTATCCTACATCATCAGTATATATAATGCAATAGAAGTAAAAAAAATATCAACTAAATTTCATAACTACTAGAAAAACATACGTGATTGAGAATCAATACTAAAAGCTATGGAAGAAGTTCTCATATTAGATGAGCGCTTTGCTCTTGCTGAATCACAGGTTTGATTAGGATGCCAAGCGGCTTTACAATGGTAACAAAAATATGAATCGCAACCAGGGCGTTCACATTTTATCTTTGGACAGCTAGCACAACCAGAAGCTATTACTGCGTAACTAAAAAAGTAATAATTATTAGTAAAATAAAATTATTACAATAAAATATACCAAATATTATTATATATATTTTAATTAGTACTTAATAGATATATTTAAAATATTTTATTTTGTTATATATTTTTTTTAATTTTTGGAAAAAAAATAACTTTTATTCACACATAGATAAAATATTTAGTTTAAAGTATTCATATATATTTCATGTGAATTTTATTCATTCATATACCTGCAATCAGGAGATGGGCAATATCTAGTATCAGGATCAACAGCCAAAACTCGCCGAACCATAAAGTCTTCATATTTATCATAAAGTGCTTGATTATTTAGAACACTTTGAATATCTATATTATAATAATTTTTTAGCAATTAACTATTGAATATTCAGCAATTTTTAAAAAGGAATACATTTTAAAGTCCACACATAAATTTATCATCCAAGATATATTATAAGATATAGTATATACTATTAAAAATACTATAAATTTATTCTATTAATTAAGTGTAAAATAGGAATTTGAAGAAACCAAATTGTATTAATTTAGTGCAATTTTTATTTTTTGTTTTTTTTTTCAAGATTAACATTTAATTTTTAAGACAAATAATAAAAGGGCATTTAAGATAAAAATAATGTATGTTTAATTTCTATCACATAACCTAATTTGTTATCATAATGTATAGATATAATATTTAATTATATATGTGTAATGTTTATCATGCCAGATAATTTAATATTAAAATGAAATAAATATTCACATTCATTGATAGTATACAATTATGAAATAAAAAACATGCATATACTAATCTTAGGTCAGAATATTAGAAATATCGACTTGAAAGGTTGTTTAAAAATAATAATAATAGCAACATAAGCTGTTAAATATGAAGTTATTTTTTGAAGTAATAATACAAGGTTAACAAACTTAATTATTCGTAAAAAATGTCAAATTTTTGTATGCAATATACATCTAACACACAAATAAAAAAGATTACCATTTGGATGCATAGCTTCTAAACATTCGGGACAAGTGATATTAACACGAGATTCGCATATTTCTATACGCAAATATTGTTGAAAACAATCAAAACAGGATCGATGATTACACGTTGACAATTTTGCAAATTTAGTTTCATCGAATTTAACTAGACACAAAGGACACTCCAGCAAGCCGTCAGCGGGCGTCGTTCCATTCTGAAAAAGTAATTAATAATTATGGTTACAAAAAATGTTAAGAACAAAGCTAATAATATTTTAAATGTAATGGGAACATGTGGTACAAAAAAAGTTAAGCAGATATTCAAATCGCTGAAGGTGCTAATATTAATGTTAGATCTTTTGTTATTTTTATTTTTTTGTCAATATTCATATCATTATAATAGACAGAGCAAAACAAATCAAGATGATACGAGGCCTTGATTATCAAGGTTTATCTCTATAGTACAACTACATGTATTTTTGGCATATTAATCAAGTTATATTATTATAGAAATACATGGTTAAGTGTCTAAATGATCTTGTTATAAAAATCAATACTTGATTTCCGCGATAAAATAAATATTTTCTGTACAATCAAACCAAAACAACCATCCATAACACAATACATTTCGAAAGTAATATAATTAATTTAACAATAATCCTGTTGTTTTAGGTTAATCGTTAATATTTAGAACAGCCTTCATTTATTATCAATTCTCGAATAATTTTTCTTTTTTTTAAATCTGATCAATTGTGAGTACCAAAGATCAAGGTTAGTGCATTAAAATTAAAAGTAAATGCTTAACAAAATCATTGCTTGGTAATTTTGTCATAGAATTTTGAATCTAAATGTTTTATTAAAAGTAAAATATAACTAAATAAAGTTATTCCAAAAATTACGAAGTTCATAGCGTGTATCAATAATACATAGAGACCAATTTTATTTAAATCGATCATAATATTTAACTTAAAAAAAGGTTGATTTTTAGCATGATTCAAGAGTTGTTAATAAAACACATTCAAATAAAAATCATTTCATATTTATAATTAGTATTTTGTGTAATTCAACACATCGTATAAAATAAAATAAAATTTTAGTTATACACAAAACTATTAATATGAAAGTATTACTAATAATACGCTCAATTTAATTTTCCTTAAATTTTTTCTTAGTAAGGCGTTCCTAAACGAGAACTCAATTAGTATTTGTTCTTTAATACGTCAAATCAATACAATCAGTGAAAAGCGAAAATAATAATGATTTTGAACATTTTTTAAGAAAATATAGGTAGAAATACAATATGTAATATACAACTATTCGTTTAAAAACTTTACGTCCAATAGAAAAAATGATTTATAACAAAAACTGTATTAACGCATATTAATTGTTTTTTATATAAACTTAGTACGTATACTTTTACTTGAGCGACGAATGCAAAAATAAATAAATATCGACTTACCTTAACGACAATTGAATTTTGGGAAGTTTTTTTTGGATCTACATAGTTTTGACCACCAAAACCTAGAGGCGCTTTTTCAAAGTCAGTGACGTCTGCTACGCTAGGTCCTCCTAAACAACATTATAGTTATTGTAATAGTATTCACATAATAAAAACAAGTTCCAAATATATATATATATAAATAAGTGGAAGGTTACGTTTATTTAAAAATAATGAAATCATAAACATAAACAAACCCGCTCAAAAAACAATAACATATTTATTACGTTAAAACAAACAATAATAATTGCTGGACTATTTAATGTAGGTTTGTCAATATCATATCACTCTTATTTAACAATTGATGGACGAATTCTCGTAACACGACACACTGTCAATATTAAATATTACTATCTAGTTTTAAATAACGTTCTGTAGTTCAATATGACGTTGTACATTGTCAGTAACATTGTCATTTTAAGTGTTTATATTTGAATTTTATGCATTAAATAAAATGAAACTAGGAATTCAACTCAAAATAAAATTTTAGTAACCGAGTATCTTTTAAATATTTAACAACCAAAAATCATTTAAAAGCAAAGTGACCCAGACTGTGTCTCCTCGATTAAATCTATCTAAGGTCTTAATAATAAGATGAAAAAAAGTTACCTGCGATAATAGTTCGTCGTTTGCCATTCTGTGAGCTCCCTAAATGCCTCGCCAAAAATGCGTTTGAGTACAAAAACCTCCGAAGCGAAAATCTGGCCGTCCGCTTTTTACGAGTCGGTGCAGCCGAGCTAGTACTTGCTTCCGGTAAATCCTGCAAAGATTTGGATATCATGCCGTGTCTTCTGTTGCTGCCTACCATACAAAACGCGAAAAAAGAAAAAATTAATGATTTAAACAGTTGTACAAGATCATTACATATTTCTTTCTAATTAACGCTATGATTGGCATGGTGTAATAATACTACACTAATGCTTCGCGCACAGAAACGATACTGAATAAGATGAACATAATCCGCCACTAACTACTCAAGTGAGTAGTGAAAGTTGGCGTTTACCTTGACCAATAAAAATATTTTACCAGTATCGCAAATTTGGAATATATATCCATTATTAAAAATCTGCTGATAAATATGCCATTGAGGACAATGTCGCCAACTACTATTAATACAATTACCGATTTGAAAATAAGTACAATATTTTGAAGATAAATGTAAATGATTAACATCGGGTTATTGACATTGATGTTGTATGTGTAGTAATTTTTTACGTATAATAATTAAACTGGTTTTTAAAAATATTTTCAAATTTTATTTATTTAAATAAAACAAATTTTGGTTGCTTTAGATGAATTAATTAGTTAGATAATAACTGTGTATTTTTTAAATAAAACACATAGGTAATTTTTAGAGAAGTATGTGATACAAAAAGTATTATCTCCCAATTTAAATTATATTGGCTTTTACACTAATAGTGTACACGTCACACGTCTGTTATTGGTACAAAAAGCTAATAAATCAATGTGATTATTCAAAATAATATTTTTATTACATTATCAGTGTTTATGTGACAGAAACTCCTAAACGTATCTTATTATTCAAATATATGAACGCGCCGATAACTAATTTGTTATCAATAAGAAGTAAAGTTGAAATTTATTTTAGTAGATAATAAAATTTTCCCAAAAATTAAATCAAATGATAATCTTTACTTGCAAGAAATAAAAATAAAACATAAACATAACGAGTGAGATAATCTTGTTATATACACATCATAATATCCCAATGAATACGTAAGAATAACTTTCATTCATACATAAAATAAGAAGAAAGTCAACAAATACCTGTTTTTTAATATATGCGCGTATGTTGCGTGATAGGAAGTATATCACAAAAATTTTATATTTCAAACAAAATTGTAAATAGCTTCTTACAAATTTCATATAAATATAAATATATGTTATGATATTTTTACTAAAATATGACGTAAAATTACGAGAGCATCAAGTGTCATTAAAACCAACTATAAAGAATACTGACAATAGTCAATAAATTAAAGATAAAATGCAATCATTAATTTTTTAACTAATTTTAATCGTTATTTAGTAAATATCCGATTACATTAATGATTACGTTGACACCTAAATCAAAAATTAAAATTACTTTGATGATCATCCGAAACAAGGGAATATTAACATCCATTTTTTCACTAAAAACAAATATTAGTTAAACAGAAGAAATCATAAAAAATTAATGTGACCGGTTAAATACAGATTTTGAGATCTATCGGATGATTATATAATTTAATCAACATTCACATAGAATAAATCGCATTTGAAATATCAAACGGATCAAATTGTAAAAAATAATATTATTCAATTTACACAATTAGGCATTAACGCAGTAAAAATTTTACTAAAATACCATGAAATTTGCATTTTTAAGCTCATATTAGATCAAAATTTTATCAATTATTTTGTAATATAGAGTAAAAAGATAAGGATATTAAGTTATGACATAGATTTAGAAAACTATTATTAAAAACAGATATTAATTTTGAAATTAAACTTGATTTAACAACGTTCTATCGATTATAATGATTACTCGACAATTTTATTTGCTATAATAATAAAAATTGGTTAAGATTAATTGTTAGTTTAAATATTATACGTAATGAACTTATGACTCGTATTAAACTTAAAGAATCAGTTATTATACAATGACCACTATTAATTCTAGTTCTATTGCTCTTGCAAGCATAACAGAAGGTGAACATTCTATTCTATCCGCTAATAATACCAGTACCTTTCTTTCCTAAGGCACTTTAACAAACCATAAGTGGCATTCATACCAATTTTTAAATGACAAGCTAATTTTAATGGATATTATTGTAACTGAAATCAATATAGTAAAAAACTATATATATATATATATATATCTGTATGACAATTACGAAGTATTATTTAAAGAAATATTTAAACAAGTAAATACTGAAAACAAATTTCTTACTATTTTTCTTGTAATATAAATCAATTTATGTAAAATAAAATATTTCACATAAAAAGACAAATTAACAAAGAAAACGATATATTATTACATTTTTTTTATGTAATCGATTTGACAAATAATTAAATTAATTTATTAAAAAATATTAATGAAAGCTGTTTCATATTTGTAAAAATTATTATTAAAGTAATACATATTTTTAAAGTACCAACTGTGATGGTCATTTGCATCTGTTATTTTAGCTTTATCAATCAAATCATACATTTTTAAGAAGTTAAAAAATTAATTTAAAAATTAAACAATTATTAATTAGAATTGTTTAAGAATGAGTACTTTAAGTTCAACACATTAAACAATAATATCATAACAAGTTAGTCAATTTAATTTTTTCAATAATGTAATGGATAATCTAAATATAAATCAATAATAGAACTAATTTCCAAATGAACAAAAAAGACATTTTTTAAGTAAGAGAAATTGTAAAATTCGTATTTTTATAAATGATGATTCATGTAATCATGGATTATGATTCATATTTTAGTCTTTCCTTTATATAAGCATTGAAAAAATCTTTCAGAAAAGCTTTAAATTACAATAAAAATCTAAAAATCAAATTTATACAGTCCTCAACAACTACTATAGTTAAAGTAATACTTTAAATCCAAAAATATCTTAACAAAAAAATTAACAATAAATACTTATTGTTACTCATACTTCAAAAACCTCTAAATTTTCTGTTATTGAAATATACAATCGAAATTCTTTTGTTTAAGTGTTAGAACTAGTTTACATATAATCTGTTATTTAAATTAAACAATTCGTTAGTAATTTTTAATTTTATAACAGACTTGAATCAATATTTTGCAATAGATTTTACTATATTCTTTAAATAATACTAAAGTATTCAATTTTTGTAAACTTTACGAATTTATTCACTTTGACGGTTGATTTCTTAGAGTAGAACAACTATGGGAATAATTTTTTTTATAGTATATTTCAAGTTTTAATTTGATATAGATTAAACATTAATTATTTTTAGAAGTTGAGTTTAAAAAAATGTTTTATATGCATAGATTGAACTCTTTTAAACCTTCTTGTACAACAAAAAGTTTTTCATTGAATTATCATAAAAAGTTACCTTTAGAACTTAATTCAATCCAATGAAACATTTTTAAAGTCGGACTAGTCCAACTTTTGGGTTACACAAATAAATTTTGTTATTCCGATGCAATCTATAAAAAAATTTAGTAGGTTCAAACTTGTTTGGACCTATATTCACTATTTAAAAAAAAAACCCAATAGCCCGACCAAATAGAAATATTTTGGTCCAATCCAAATGCCCCAAAGTTGGTTTGGATTTAACCTCTGCAGGACTCTAGAAAATAGCTTCTGCTATATTAATTAGTTATTAATTTTGCCATTAATTTATTAAGAAACTAAGGAGATATAATGATAAATATCAATAAACAAATGAATAATTATTTTACTTAATAGATATATTTTAAAGTAATAATAATAAATAAATTGTATTTCAAATAGAATCATTCATTGATAAGACTCAAGCTGATTGATACATTTTTTTTAATTTCAAATTAAAAAAAATTATAATGAACAAAAATATTAACTGTATAGGCCATTAAAGTCCGTGAGCCTTGGGGATTAACCTTAAATCCATACCTGCGTTTTTATCACAAAAAAAAATATGTTTGACTAACAAATTAATCTAAATTTTCCATAGATAAATAAAAACCCAATGAAATATTATAGTTTTATTTTTAAATGAGAATAGTCAGGTCAGAATAGAGAAGTCTATTATAAGTCTATTAGATAAATATTATAACAAATTAAATTTAACACAACAAATTTTAAGTTACTATGTATGTTTTTAGAAAATGGAATCCAATATAAAATAATTCATTATTACTACACATTAATAAAAAAACAATAAGATTTAAGGAAATTCCAAACATTCATTAAGTATTACTAACCTTATCATAGTGCTAAAACTATTTTTTATAATATTTTAATTAAAAATTTTAATATAAACCTTAACTCCCTACCTTTTAGGGTTAGAATTAAAATGTTACTAGAGGGGATGCAAAAAATGTATAGACAAAAAAATCAAATAAGGGTCATGTGCCCATTGCATTCTCCCTTTATAAGGATATAACTCATTATCTCATTACTCAATTTAATTAATAGACTATTGGCTAAAAAGGGTTTTTTTTAAAAATCAAATAACATTAAGTATAATTATTATATTACAATAATTGTAATATACATTAAAATAATAATAATTATTATATAAATTAATAATATATTAAAAATCTTCTTCTTCTTCTTTGCCTTAATCCCAACTACTTGGGGTTGGTCACCCTTATCCTAAGCTTCCACTCGACACGATCTCCCACATCAGCTGTCTTCAAATTGCATTCAATAGCATCCCTCCATCTCTTTTTTGGTTTTCCTCTACTTCTTCTTCCTTGAACATTCATTTCTATAACTGTTCTTATAGCTTCCGATTCTTCTCTCTTCATAACATAACAAAACCATCTAAGTCTATTTTATCTTATTTTATCCACGATTGACACTATACCTGTACTCCCTCTTATAGACTCGTTCTTTGTTCTACCTTTTCTAGTTACTCCATTCATCCATCTAAGCATTCTCATCTCTGCTACACTCATTCTCTGCTCTACTCTCTTATCAACTGCCCAACACTCTGAACCATACATCATAGCTGGCCTTATTACATTCTTGTAGAATTTACCTTTCAGCCTCATTGGAATTCTTTTATCGCATAAGATGCCAGACGTTTCTCTCCACTTCAACAACCCGCACTTAATTTTGTGTCTTACATCCTCATCAATACCACCACTTTTTTGCACAACTAACCCTAAATACTTAAAACTCTCCAATCACGTCCTAGCCTACTAATCACTGACCTCCTCATTTTAACTACCTCGTGTTCTCCTTTGTCAAACTCGTACTCTATATACTAATATATTAAAAACAAAAAACAAAAAGAATTACATATTTTAATTCATTATTTTTCTAATAAAATTACCTGGGAAATTTAATATAAAAAGAAAAGAAATTAATAACACTAACAAAAATTTTCCAATAGATATAATTGAAAATCAACCCCTCAATGATTTATAAGAGTAGTTAAACCAACACTTTTAAGTGTGCTAAGATTTTAGTACTTCAGTGAGCACTCTTAGATGGCTTATATTCCATACTAATTTTTCTTTAAAAAGATATTAGCATACAAATGATCAATCTTTTATGATAAAAAAGTAACTTAATTACAATAAAAGTTATTTATTTTTCATTTATATGTTAAATATAAAATTACTTGAATTAAATCACTTATATCAGTATTAATTTTAAAGAAACTTCACCCAAGAATCACAACATTTTTAACTGACAAGCTACCATAAAAACTTTTTGCAACCACTTGACAATACTTTTTATATTATAATGGATTAGATTGTTAATGGAGGGATACATGCCATTGTTCTCTTTCTAAAAAGTCATTTTTTTACTAGCTTCATTTATTTAAATTTTAAAATAAAAATATAAGAGTGAAATTAATGCAATTATATGTATAATTTAATTTATAAACATAATTAAATTTAATATTACTATCGAAGTCTTGATTATTATATTTACATTGATTTATGGGAAAATTGCTAGACAAAACCCTTATTTAGGAAAAAGGACATAAAAAATACCTTAATTTAACACAATAAGGAGGAGGTAAGACATTTTTATTTATCTTTTAACCATACTATAAAATTATAAATAGAATTCTGGGACAAACAATGTTTTTCCATTGTACTTATTTTTTAAGTCAATAAAAGTAAACAGTTTTCTATCAAATATGGGTTTTTAACTATACAAAATAAAAAATTTTATACACGTAGTGTAATAAAACTACAAAAAAAAAAATTGTTAAGATTAAAATTTTAATCAATTTTTTATTAAGTTTATTTAAATAATGAAAAGAAACTTCTTTACTACCAGTGAATGGAGTTTCAAGAATCATTTTAATTTATTTGTACATTGAAGAAATCCGGTTCAGTGATCAAGTTATACATAATACTAACCAGCCAAAATAAATCTTGTGAGGGATTTTTTTAGCGATGTAACAAGATTGTAAAACATGTTTTTTTAAATACATTGAATTTTTTTAAGTGCAGACAATGCATTTATAACAATATTCTAAATTGAAAACATTAGTATAATTAATTGTGACAATTTGGACTTGTTTGATTACTAAACATTTTAGAATAACAAGTTTTAAATAGTTAGGCTTGGGCAAGACTTTCTTTCTTGGGAGTTTAGGGGCATTGGCCCCCTACACAAGAGTCAGTGACCAAAGCCGGCAGGCATAGGTGACCATTTATTGTTATGACAATAAAATGTACATTTATGAAAGCATGTTGTAGGTTATATATTAAATAACTTAATTACTATGTAACTTAGACAAGTTTTTTTTTTTTTAACTTAACCAAAACAAACTTTATTTATTGAAAACAATTTTTTTGTGACACTGGCAATCATAAAAAATAATTGCAAAAATAATTTAATTATACTAGATTTGTTCCAAATTTTGAAACACTTTGGATACTCAAATATATATTATATATCTTTCAAGAGTACTAACTTGTTAATTTAAAATAAGTTCATTAATTCCTTACTTTTTAGAACAATCACTAAATATTTCAAAAAAATTAATAAAAGAAAAATTAATTTTTTTAGATTGAAAAAAAAAATTTTTTTTTATTAAATTAAATATGCACTATAGTCAAACAATGTTGGATTTTTGAGAAGTCTTATTTCATTTGATATGAAAAGTTATTTTTTGATAGTTTATCAAACTATTTTAAGAAAATAACCATTATAAGTTAACTTACCAGCATTCATAGACATGGACATAAATTCAATCAATCTATCCTCTTAATATACCAACTTATGTAGTGGTTCTACTTTAATATTTCAAAAAATGATATCTGATTTAGAAAATTTTAAGAACACAATTTAATGAATATGAAATAAAAGTAATTTACTAAAAAATTAAATAACGGACGTTTATTAAAATTATGAACGTCAAAATTTAGAAACAATATTGAACTTAAAAACATAAGTTATTTTAATTATCAATTCAAAAATAATAGTAATGAAAAATGGACCACCATAATTCTTTAAGAACTATTATTATAATAATTAAGTTTAATGTTGATGATATTTACAAGATTTCACATACACAACTAATAACTACAGACTACAACTGTAATTCATGTAATCGTCTAATCTAAATTTATGAAGTTAATGACATGACTAGAATAGATAAACACGAAGAAAAACAAATAACTTTTTCGACTTTCTAAAAAATATATATGCATTAAGCAATGGTTTAACGGGAGCTGGGTAGGAGAGAATGATTGCGATTGGCTAACTTAAGACGTCACAGCTCATGGAAAAAATTAACACCATGTAATATATTTTCAATATTGATAACAGTCATATGGTTTCAATCAAGGTGGATTCCACCTTAGTTTAAATCATTAACTAAGATAAACTGAGAAAGTTTATTATAGTTCATGGTTTCAATTATAATTAGGATAAGATACTGGAAATGTGTTTTATCGTATTTTATTTAATAGCTAAGAAATGACCTTTATCATCACAGAACTCAATATTTTCTAGACGAATTATGTTTAATTAATGCCTATTTATATAACTAAATAGCTATAGTAAATTGTAAAATTTTTTATTTATATTTAAAACTATACATACATTACGTTATTCGTTGTACACTCTTTCATATTCAACCAACATTTTATTTTTGAACTAACCAGTTTGGATAAGATTTTTTTAAATATAATAATTATGTCGAAGACTTATGAAATTGGTTTCATTGGTGCTGGTAGTATGGCCAAAGCCATTGGTCTAGGATTTGTATCTAAAGGTATAAGAACATTTAAAAAAATTAATAACTGAAATTTATAAATTATACAATGTTAATTGCCACCTATAAGTGAAAAGCAAAAAATAAATCGTCCTAAGCTTGAAATTTAGTAGATTTTTTTAACTGTGACACCATTATGAAATCCTGACAATGTCACTGCACATGTCTGAACCTAAAAATAAATACATGTTGACTTTTTTTTTCTAATTTGAAATTTGATTGTTTGTCTCTTGTGTAGAGATATTGTTCACTTATAATTCAATTAAATATTGTATTTAAAAAATTTAATATATCATCATGTATAAATATTGAACATTGATAATATATTTTTTGTAAAGTTACTTTAGTAACCTTACGTAATTCAAAATTTACTTTTAAATTTGATGAAATCTTACTAAATAAAGTTTTAATTTTAAAAATATTTGTTAGGTGTTAGGCAAGACTATACATAGAACTTTAATATTTCATATAATCTTTCAAGTGAAAAATATAATTTCTTTTTAAGTTTTATACATTTATTGAATAGGGAAATCTGGAACTAGTTAAAAACCTACTTCTACTTAATTATAAGGAAGTATTTAACATATTGTCTTTATTCTTTTTTTTAAATTTTTTTCTGATTTTTGCATACTGTTATATATATTATTAAAGGTTATAAAATATAATCATTTATCAATTTTCAGGTGTTGTTAAAGCAGAAGATATAATTGTATCAGCTCCATCAGAAAATAATAAAGCACCATGGAGAAATAAAGGAGTAACTGTAACAAACGATAATAGTAAAAGATTTCATTTTTTTTAACTTTATGCATATTAATACTTTATACATTTTAGATCAAGTATTTTCCAGTTGTAAAATATTATTTTTGGCTGTCAAACCTCAGCATTTTTCTTATGTAGTTTCTAAGTTAAATACCAAAAATGAAGGTATACCCATAAAAATTATAGTGTCTATCATGGCTGGTATACCTTGTAAAAAATTAAATGAGGTAAATAGTATACTATTTTTTATAACAATAATACTTATTTTATGCAGCTTTTTTAATACAACTCATTATTATAAAGAAAGTTTTTAACTTGCAGATATTTATACTTAATTCTAATTTGAATCTAGCACCTAGTTGTGTATTTAAAGTAATGCCCAATACGCCAAGTCTAATTGGAGAAGGTTTTTCCGGTAAAATAATCTATTTACTTAATCTTTTTTATTATGTCAATAATAAAAATTATGTTTGTTTTTTCAGTTATTTGTCATGAGTCATGTGCTATTCCAGAAGAACTCTCCCTAACTTTACCAAAAGTTATATCATTAATGTCTGCTATTGGAAAGGCAGAAGTTATACCAGAATCATTAATGGATGCAGCTGGAGCTTTATCTGGATGTGGACCAGCTTATGTAAACTAATACTTTAATTTTATAATATATTTATTCTGCAGTTAAATTACTTAAAAAATTTAATTTTTTACAAAAATTATGAGACGTGGTGTAGCGTAATTGTACATTCAACCAAAGTTTAAACACTGACGTTCAGCTGTATTATTACTGTTATCTCATAGATAGATTAATTTAAAAACTTAAAACAACTTAAAAACAATAATACACATATTTTTTATCTTCAACAAATAGAAGGCAAATCATATTTTTTATAAATGATATAGCAAAAGTTATGTCATTTAAAGTCCTCGGCTGGCTCTTAAAGAGCCATACAATAAACAACTTTTTTTTCTATAGACTTTTCTCATTATTGAAGCTTTAGTCGATGGTGCTGTTAAGCAAGGTATCCCCCGAAATTTAGCAGTTCAATTAGCAGCTAGTACTTTAGCTGGATCAAGTCGTATGGTTTTAGAGACAGGGAAACATACTGCTGAACTTAAGGATATGGTAACGTCTGCTGGAGGTTCTACAATTGCAGCTTTACATGCTTTAGAAAAAGGAGGTGTAAGGTAATCTTTTAATCTACTTTATCATATACATTGCATTGATTTATATTTTGTATGAATAGGTCTGCATTAATGGATGCAATTGAAGCTGCAACAAAAAGATCGAAAGAAATGGCTGATAAACCATGATACTTATGTACATTAAAAAATGTATTAATCTGTACAATTATAACTGTAATTCTTTGTATTTACACTAGTTTTATAAAACATATTGTATGGTTTTAATTTATTTTTCAACTAATAAATATATCAAAATTTTATTTTGTGTCAGGTGCATATTCAACACATCTTGAAGGATCTGTTGGGAAGAAATGTTGACATTTAGTCATCAGTCGTTTTAAAGCTTGAATGTACTTTCTTTGAGTTTCATCATTCAGTACATGAGCAACATTTTTAGAAAAAATTTTCTCTCTACCTGTTCGAGCATGAATTCCTACCATAGTAACACCTATAGGCCAAGGAGCATTACCGATAGCCATTTCTAAATATGCATCACTGGCTCTAAGATAATCTTTTTCTAACATATGTTTAGTTATAAGTGTTAGACTATCTAATATATCATCAGGGAGACTACTATTTTTTAACTTTCTTAAAAGGGGCTTGAGGTATAGCTGAGTTTGATTGTAAGTAGCTAATGCAAGTTTTCCTTTAACACTAGCTTTTTCTTTTACAGATCTAGAATTAAGTTGAACTTCCCACATTTTCAATAAAAGTTGTAAAAGTTGCAATATAATTTCCATGTCTTGAGTTCTATCTCGTCTTCTTCCTAATATACCCGCTTTAGACTGAATAGTTTCATAAGTTTTCATAGCATCTTCCATACTTTCTAATTCACTATAACTTTTTTCGGCTGTTTGATTTGTCATTAGCTCATCCAAGTAATCTTGATCAACTTTTTCTAATGCTTCTTGGAAATCATTTCTAAAACCCTAAATACAATGCATCAATAATAAATACTTAAAATGTATAAATAGATTTTAATAAAACAAATTGTTTTACAAAAGTGAATGTTAAAAAACATTTTAAGTATCACTAACAATTAAGTTGAGTCTACATTTATTTAGTGTCATTTTTTAGATGACAACATAAGAATTCCCTGAGATGAACATTATGTTTGTAAACTAAATGAATATTCAAAATATTTTTGGAAGGACAGGTTATATTTTTACAGTGTTTATGAAAGAAAAAATTTAATATTTTATTTTAAATAATGAAATTGCTAATTTTTGCACAAACATAAAAATACTTGGATATATTAAGCCCAATAAGTGGATTAATGAAAAGATACTAAAAAAAATTGAAATGTAAAACAATTTGTTTGGACAGTTTGATGATTATAAAATTTTATTATTAATGTCTTTGGTAGTCTCAAAAATTCAATAATAACATTATTACTTTACCCTCATTCCATCACCACAATAATCAAATTAAGTCTCACTAACTTTTTAATCAAAATTAAATATAGACTAATTATTATTAATTACAAATAATAATAAACATACTTTATTTGATTCAGGCTCAGCAAGTTCACTTTTACGTAAACGTTTAAAAGAATCCAATTCAGATTCTCCAAATAACATAATGGGTTCTCCACGTTCTCGTAATCGCCTTACAACTTCTTTTCTTGACAGGGTATGCTTCTCAGATGTAGTACTACTACTTTGATCACCAACTCCTAGTTATAAAGATAATTACTACTAAAAATTTCATTTAAATATTTTTATACAATTAAAAAATTATCCTAAATTTAAAATATTTAAAAAACCCAATATAGTCGGGACTCAGCACACAATGGTTTGATATCAAAATTAGCTTTTTTAAACCTAAATGATCAAAATTGGCTTTTTTGGTATTATTTTTTTATTTAGCTTACTGAAAAATATACAGTTTCAAGATCACAATTTAATTTCTAGCTATGTAAAGCGATTTGAATTAAAAAAAAACAACTAAAATTTTATCATTATATTATAAACTATAATTTTTAAAAACTTTGCCCCCTTTGTATACTTTTAAGTTCAGTTAAATTTTAAGTCAGTGACCTTAAATACATATACTTATGTATATGTCACATGACAATTTTTATATTTTAAAAAATGTGTACCCCTAATTTTGGGTAAATTTAAAATCTGTTATTTAATTTGGGACCAGTAAACTTTAAAACATAGAGAAGGGAATTTTTCAATATTTTGCTTGTTTTAAATCAGGAAGTATAAATTATGACCAACTTATTTTGATTTCAGATCAAAACGCCTAGCGTGGGGACCAGAATATTTTAAAATCTAACAGTGGTTAACATCTGTTATTATATAACACTAGGCTTTACCTAGCTGGGGCTTTGCCTCAGATTTGGTACCTAATATGTTTATGGCACGATAGACTATTTGGGCTGTCCTTACAGGTTGTCTACTGAATCTGATAAGAGTACCTGGCTATGCCTGGCACAACATGTGTTGTGTAATAAAAGTATAACTGCAAAAGCAGTTTACCAAAAAAATAGTTCCACTTATAAATTAAACAATAATTTAAAAAATAATAATACAACTCCAAAATACTTAGGTGTATTCACAATTATACATCATAATAACCTACTCGTATTATTCAAAAGAACAGGTAGGCGAAAAAACTTAATAATCATTTAAAACAATTTTTAAATATCATATTATTAGTAAAAACTACATGAACTAACATAAAATTTACAGGCACAAAGCAAAATTATATCTTAATAAAAATTATGCACGTGAACTTAAAAAACATGGCGGCAATAAATGTTTATAATTAAATTTTTATATCATTATGGTTTGCTAAAAAAAAATTTCTCATCTTTGTTAATAATTTACCTAGAATACCTTCATCAAGCTCTTTTATATAAAAAAATTTAAAAAATCGGACAAACTTAATTTAATTTAACAGAATTAACGATTTTTTAAATGTTTTATTATACAATAAAATATCAATGTAAATGTATGCAAAAATATTTTCAAGAAAAATTTTTTTTTGGTGAGGTGATATGTTCCATCTATCATCTCATTATACCCCTAAGGAGTAAACACTAATCTAAAAAAATATATATATACCTAATGAACAAGATATACAAAAGTATTTACAAAAAAATAAAATTATTTACATTCATTCATTATTCAAATAGTTATGATTGTTTTTAATAAAAACAATTTAAAAAATTTTAAATTTGATGATTTTAAAAATAGTAATTTGTTGGGGTTACCCTTTTACAGGGAACAAGGGATATTTTTTCAAATTTTGAGGGTTCTGTCTTTAACTAGATATGATTTGTTATTTTTCAATGTAACATTAAACAAAAGCGGTCAAGTAGGTGCTGAAAGCTTGTGGTAACAAACAAAAAATACTTCATAGTAAAATTAATACCTTTTCAGTTTTACATTGAAGTTAAAAGACACATGAAAATTAACAAACTATAATTAATAGAAGTTATAATGGTAGACAAAAGGCATAAATAGCTACTTTAAAAAACTAAAAATAAGGGAGAACTTTGATAACAAAACCCTAGTTTTTATACATAAAATATTGGAAAATATACATATTAAATGTATAATGTTTTAAAAAATAAATTAAAATATTTACATAACATACAAATTAATTAGTTAATCCTAAATGAAATAAGTAATTTATTAATTACTACAATTATATAAAATTATTTTTGGTTAAATCTAATATTACCAAAAGTTTGATTTTCAACTGGGTTTTCTAATCCTTCAATTTTAACTGAACATTTTTTCAAATATTCTTCTCTTTCTTTAGAAAGTAAATCAGCTCTTTTAAAGTACTTGCGGCCATCATTCTGTTAACAAGAAAACTATAGTTTATAGCACAAAACATTTCGTAAAATATTCAAGCAATTTTAATTTTATAAAAAAGTGAGATTCACTAAAAGTTAAACAAAATCATTATTGATCAGTGTTTAATAATATATTGTAGACAGTCAATTTTTGTTTTCATTTTTACGTTTTTCATATAATACTTTTTATTCTTCAACTCTGCCTAATATTAAATTTTCAAATAAATATTTAAATTAATTAAATCAAGGTGATTTGATCTTATTATTTTTTTTTTTTATCATTAATTTATACTATCAAGAAGTTAGTTACATTCTTAATGATGCACTTGTGTATTTTAATATGAATACATTATTATAACAACAAATACATATTACGAAAACAATAATAAAAACAACAAACAATAGTAAATTACATTGAAATTGTGGTTTACTTGAATCTTTAACTTAATTATCTTAAAACTTAGTTCATTGAGTTACTACACTAGCATCTTTATGATACAAATAACGGATTTTCTAGTTGACAATAATCGTTCCATAACCCCTAATTAATTAATTGTTGGAACATACCTAATTTTCAGAATGGACTGAATGTATATTTTAATGATTTTATTCTGAAGTTTATTATAAACTCCAGAAAACAATACGTTGAAACGTAAGAATCATAGATTTACATAGGAACATAAATCTTAAAAAACTTTATAAACATTTTTAAAAGAACAGAAAAAATTAAACCAATTCTATTACGATCTTATGCTATAAAATATAAACAATTGATACATTTTTTTGAAACACTAATTTTCAGTGGCACCCCTAGTCATAAGATATTTATATTATATAAATAATATTTTTACATAATATTATATATTAGGTATTATATATATTTTAGGTAGGAAAGGGTTGTTTTAAGCCACCTTCATCAAGACATCATTTCAATAAATAAATATGAAATTTATTTAAAAATAATTACGCTTAGCACTAAATAATCTAGATTATATCACAAGTAATAACATACAACTAAATTAGCTTCTTCAATTTGTTTTCTCTTCTTTTCTATTTCCGCTTTTAACAGATCCATGAGTTAAGTCAGAAATTAAAAATATAATTTAAGAAATCAAATTCTTCCTAATTTATTTATAAAAATTGTATAATGAATGTTTTAATAGAAATTACAGAAATTTAAACTACAAAATATTTTTATCAATCGTAACTCCAACATAAATATTTACTACGAACATAAAAAAAATGAATAAGGTTAGTGCATGATAAAATGATAAGAGCTAAGCGCATAACAATAGCTCGGGAGATATGTTCTATAGCATATAACATAGAATAAATAAAATTATCAAAGTAATTGAAAATTGTAAAATTAGGGTAATTGCTATTCTAGTCGATTTTTTTGAATGATAAAATTTTAACAACTGTCGAAAAATTAAATTATTATCATTGAAAAACTCGATTGAATATTAAATTACTCTAAGTATACAATTTTCAATTACTTCGAATAATTGCAATATACAGGGTGGCCCACCACTCACTGACAACTTAAATAACTTTTGATCCAGTTAATATTTTTAGCTGATTTTTTTTTTAAATAATAGTTATACGTTAGGTCTATAGCTATATCTCAATAATTAATTTTTTTACATTTTATTAAAAATATTAATTATTTTTAAATTTTAAATAAAATGTAAAAAAAAAATCTAAGATAGCTATTTTGTAGAGTAGAATTTAAGAAAAATTTTAGTAAAAAAATATCTTATTAATATTCAGTAGTAAATATTCTGTAGCGTTTTGAAGTTTGTGAAAATTTGAATTTTCATGTACTATTTTACGGTATTAAACATTGAAATACGTATTGAGAAAAGGACAGAAGAAAACGCTATCTTTTCAATATACTTTTGAATGAGAGTGATAAGTAATAATTGCCTTATCTAATTTCTTATCATGGTATTAATGCCAAGTTTGTAATGTATACACACTATCATCATATGTATACACAGTAATCATGAAAAGATAGCGTTTTCTTCTGTCCTTTTCTCAATACGTATTTCAATGTTTAATACCGTAAAATAGTACATGAAAATTCAAATTTTCACAAACTTCAAAACGCTACAGAATATTTACTACTGAATATTAATAAGATATTTTTTTACTAAAATTTTTCTTAAATTCTACTCTACAAAATAGCTATCTTAGATTTTTTTTTTACATTTTATTTAAAATTTAAAAATAATTAATATTTTTAATAAAATGTAAAAAAATTAATTATTGAGATATAGCTATAGACCTAACGTATAACTATTATTTAAAAAAAAAATCAGCTAAAAATATTAACTGGATCAAAAGTTATTTAAGTTGTCAGTGAGTGGTGGGCCACCCTGTATACATATTCTTGAGTAGTTTATTATCAATTACTTTTAACATCATCCCTTATAACATTATAGGATCTCAACTTTTTTTGTTAAAAGGCAATATATTTAAATAGCGTGTAGGTCGATAACAACTATTGAACAAGTACACCGGAAGACAAACATTTTTATGCTTTCATGAGAGGATAAGTGTAGCTGAAAAAGCGGTGTTGAGAAGGAACTGGTTCCAAAAGGAACGGATTCCTGGAACGAGTTCTTTTTGAAGGAACGATGCTAGGAACTGCTTCCTTTTAAAATAAAGGAACGAGGAAAATGAACAAATTCCATTTTTTAAGGAACGTGAACGGAAATTACAGTTCCTAAAAATTTTTATAAACATGTTTTAGTGTAGTTTTCTTTGTATCTAGACATTAAAATATTAAGGTATTTTTAGTTGACTTTTGACAATGGAAGTCCCCTATATACCCAGCCGAGATCGTAGGCTGTTTAAATGAATCAATTGACTATAAATAGAGTTATTATCACATGTAGGTATACAGTAAATATTTAATATATGTGTACATATATTAAATAATGCACCAAATATTATCATCGATTCTTGTTAACTAATATATGTTAAAGGTTTTGGGTTTTCTGATTTATAATTTCTAACTTATATGTAGACAATAGACATAGGTCGCGTTGAAACAAGTCGTTAGCATTTACTACCTGCTTATAAATATAATTTTCGAATACTACAAATANTAATTTTCGAATACTTTTAGATAAGGAATACTACAAATTTGTTTTGTATTCGACTGCTGATGAAAATCATTGATGACCGTTATCATGATCTCATTACCACAATTTTTTAAATAACTTGGTTACATAAAAGGAACGAAGAGTGGAACGAGTTCTTATTTTGGAGGAACTGGATCTGGAACAAGTTCCTTCTTAATATAAAGAACTAGGATCTGGAACGAGTTCATATTTTAGAAAATGAACGGGGAACGGAACGAGTTCCATTTAAAAAGGAACTTTCCCAACACTGTGAAAAAGTAGAAATAGTCGTAATCGTACCTCCTATCTATTCCACACTTTAACTTCTGAAGTACTGATTCACAAATTGTTATCGAACTGTCGTATTCTTAATTAGATCATTTTCCTACATTTTAAGCTATTTTCTCTTTTTCATAGATATATTTGTATATAAAAAAAAGAAAACCTAGCACAGTGGGGTGGCGGCACAGTAGGGTCGTGGCATAGTTGGGTCCAGTATAGATGATATCTGACAGTGATTAAAATCACTATCATAAAAAACACTTCGATGCAAATCTGTAGATAGTGTTTAATTAAAAAAAAAAAATTTGTTAAAATAGCATATTTTTAAATATGGTAGCCATTTGCGCATAGAAGATAGGTCGTCGGGACAAATTTTTTTATTTCATTTTATAGTACATAAAATCAGCTTTAATTTGATATATATTTAAAGGACGCAGTATTTCCGGAACATTTTCAAAAATTAAGTTGAAAAAGTTAGTTTTTGTAAAAAAGTTGCTATTTTAAATCCCCCCTGTGAGCAGAATAAGTGTTAGATTTTCAAAAAAAAATGATATAAAATGAAAGAAAATTACCTAAGGTTTCAATATAAAGAAATATTATTTTGATTAGTTAATATTTGAAAAAGTTATGGCAGTTTTAAGTACAAAAAACATTCCGATAGAAGGTGATTTTTATCGTAAACATTACATTTTTTTTATAATTTCGACAGCCATTTGCACATAGAAGATAAGGTGTCGGGACAAATTTTTTTTTTTCATTTTATAGTACATAAAAAAAGCTTTAATTTGATATATGTTTAAAGGACGCAGTATTTCCGGAACATTTTCAAAAGTTCAGTTGAAAAAGTTCTATTTTTTATACAATGTTTCAAAGTTTGAACCCCCCCTATATAAGGGGAAATTGTCTAATTTTAATAAAAAGTATGTCAAATGGAAGATGTACTTATAATGTATTTAGAAAAAAAAAAATTGTGCTGATACATGCATTTTTCGAAAAGTTATAGCATTTTTAAGTTGAAAATTAAAAATTGAAAATCGAAAATTTTAACACAAAAATAGTGTTTTTTTAACTACGGCAACCGTTTACATGCAGAAGATAAAGTGTCGGGACAAATTTTTTTTTTTCATTTTATAGTACATAAAATAAGCTTTAATTTGATATATGTTTAAAGGACGCAGTATTTCCGGAACATTTTCAAAAATTAAGTTGAAAAAGTTAGTTTTTGTAAAAAAGTTGCAATTTTAAATCCCCCCCCATGAGCAGGTTAAGTGTTAAATTTTCAAAAAAATTATATCAAATGAAAGGAAAATATCTAAGGTTTTAGTTTAAAAAAAAATTATGTTGATTTGTTGATTTTTGAAAAAGTTATGGAAGTTTTAAGAAAAAAAAGTGAAAAAAATGACAAAATTTGTCGATTTTTAAATTTGTAATTTTTTTGGATATTTCCCCCATTTGCGGGGAACGAGGGAAAATTTTTAAATTTTTAAGGGTAATGTCTTCAACTAGATACAATTTATGATCTTTTGACGTATTGTTAAAAGAAATCGGTCCAGTGAGAGCTGAGAAAAAGTAGTGACAGACACAAGGTCATATAAATTTTATAAAAAAATACAATTTTCAGTCACGGGACCTTAATTTATTACTAAATAAAGAGTATACAGGCTAGCGCTATGATATTTTAAGCGCATGCCAAGAGGCAAATGGTTCGAGGGACTAAAAAATTATAGCGGTTATACTTACTCTAAGTAAAAAAAAAAAGAATTGCTCATAAAAAAAACTTTGAAAAAGTCAACATACGCTATTATACTAACACTATTAAAAGCGACCAAATGATAAATCCACCCCTGGCAAGGTGTAAATTTCAAACACGAAGCACATCTCAAGAATCAAAACTCATTATTTGACAATATGATTTACTTTTCGTTACTTTTCTCTAGGCCCCATATAATTTCAATACTCCTTATTTCTAACTTATCACTTTATTTAATGAAACATAAATACATGTCAAATGGGTAATGTCAAGTTTACACTAAATTTGTAGCATAATTTTCTTACTTTTCAGGTAGAAATTAAGATTTTATAAGATAAAATATGCCTACCCTAAAAATAAAATACATAAGCTATATACAGGGTGTTCAGTAAGTCAGGAAACGGGTTTCTATTGTTCTCATTGATACAAACAATGAGAACAATAGAAACCCGTTTCCTGACTTACTGAACACCCTGTATACTACAACAATAGTGAAATATTATTTGTTTTATTTTTTCTTGTTATCTTAAAATTACAACTCAATAGGACCAAAAGCATTTAAAAATCCAAAAGGACTGAGAGCTATTAATAGATTTTTAAGATTGTTTTTAGATTTTTTTTGTAATAAATTTTGTTTGGCTCTTAAAACTCTTTCTTCCAAAATAGAAACCTTAAAAAAAAAATAAGTTTATTAAAATATACAATTCAAAAATGTGTGTACATACTCTTTCTTCAAGTTGCCTTATTTCTCTCGCATTTTCATTTATTCTAGCTTTGATTTTAAAATATGATGTATCTTTAGACTTATGGCACTTGTCACACTTTGTAGTTGCATGTTTAGGATCATCTTTAAAATAACCTTTGCAACTTTTACTGAATACACCATAGTTACCTAAACAAACTTCAATACTATCCACTTGTTCCAAGAGATTTTCTAATTCAATTTTATTTTTTATTGGATTTTTATACTCATATTCTTTTTTATTTATAATAATTGATGGAACAAGACTATCTTTAAATTGAATAGATTTAATTGTTTTATTGTTTTCGTCATACTGTATGAACATAGTTGTATTTTGTGGTAAAATATACTGCCCTGTCCATAAATCATTAGGTAGTGCAATTTGTTTGCAAATTCCATGTAAATAACTTACATCTCTAAATTCTGAATTTATATTGCAATCGTCTACAGCATGTAATGTTTCATTTATACCAATTCTTGTTGAACTTTTTATTAATGATTTTGGCTGTTCTAAAGGTTGATACATGGATTGGATTAAATTTTTTTGTGGTGATTTTGATTGTTGAAGTAAATTATCACAACATAAACCAATTGAAGTGGACATATTACTACTATAAATTTCAGCATCAATTAAATTATGACTTGAAACATTATTATCCAATGAAGAAATATCTATGTTAAGCTGTTCTAATGATTTTTTTTCAGTTGGCATTTGTGTATGTTGACAAGTAATACTTGATTTTGATAATGGATTGATAATCACAGAAGAGTTCACAATTTCAGTAGTTTCTTTGTCAACATCTTCGGTTAAATCAATACATTTAATTTCTTTAAGCTGATCTAAACATAAAAGTATACAATACATTAGTTGTTAATATTTAATAATACAACAGATTAATGGTTTTTATCACATTTCTCTTGTTCAAAAAATCATCATTTTTGAAAAGTATTATTTTTTTAATTTCTCCATTTAATTATGCTGATTAAAATAAAATAAGTGAATAACCAGTTATACTAAATCATTACATTATAATTAGTGATAATTTCTAAAAAAACTTAACCATTTCAATTACAAATATGTTTTGGGGGTTTTTGTATACAGTTTTATGAAAGTTGAGTTAATTGTAGTTAAAAAACTATCCCTACACATGTTATAAAATAAGATGTACTCTCTTTAAGATAACTTACTTAAGTTACCTTTTATTAATATATAATATACTATAATCACAATAAAATAATATGATACTAATACTATAAGACTGATATAAAATATGATCTAACATTACTATAAGATACTAATATATAATACTATAAGATAAGTTACTAATTCAAACTTAAACCAAAGTTTCCGCAGACACCCACAATAAATAGTAATTCATTTTAATAAGAATCTGTTAAATACGTTAATTTTTAAATAAATCATTATTGTAACAAAATAAACAAAATTTGAATCTTTATAAAAATTCTATGATAAATTTACCTATTAATTGAATTTTAGTTTTCTTAGTAAATGGATCATTTACAGAATTTCTATTAGATCTTTTAACACTAGTAGATTTTCCCACAACATGTGGTATCGCACCACTGACTAATGTTGCTACTTCAGTAATACCACTATTAGGAACAAATACTTTTCGATAAATAACATCTTCTTTTTTAAAATGCCTCTCACATACAACGCTATTCTCAGTCAATCGTAAACCAAATGCAGAGTTCCACACACCTAATACTTTCTAGTAAAACAAAATATAATCAAAATTAGTTTAAAAATACGATTTAAATTTAAACTTACCCAATAATTTTATTTTTTATTTTAATACATTACATTTAATAGTAAATGGAAAATTATTATTAACTATGCATTAGTAAAGAATATAAAATATAAATATTTTCAATTAAAATATAGTAATAAAATTTAAACGTATGTAACACTTTTTATTTAACTTTTTTAAATAAATAAAATAAACTTTCATTAACTCATTCAAATTCATAAATGATAACATTAGCCAAATTGAGAAAATTAAGAAAGTCTTCCCAAATACTCCATTTAAACATCAAAAGAAGTAACCAAAAAAAATTTGAATTATGACATGGTACTACATTTTCCTTGACCTCACATAACATTATCAACTTACATAAAAGTATATAGAGATCTGAATCATAAGTACATAGTGGCCTAGTGGTAAGATATGTCTCTACGACACGTTTATATCACACAACATCTAGTACAGTTTCAATGATTGGCCGTCAATCCTCAGCAGCCGTGTTATTATTTCTAAGTTATCTTAGTATGTTTCTAACTTATTTGCTTAATTCTTTTATTAAGGCTCCATACTTGCAGATTAAGAAAATACATTTTTCTTACAATTAGGTTTTGAATTTAAGAAAAAATAAAGACATATTTCTTCATTTATTACTGAAGTATCAAACCTTAATATGTATGTTAAAAATATATTTTTTAAATTTTAAGTTAGCATAATTAAATTTTGTATTTATTATTATTTTTTTTAATATCTTAAATTAACATGACTAAATTATTTGTCAATGTACTCAATGAGTATATATCTATATATACTTTTTATTTACAAAAAAATTAATTAATTTATAAATATGTAATCATATTTCAACCTTTGATGGGCAGAACATAGATGCTTTAGGAACTTTAAAATCAATCATGTTTTGTTTTTCACGTATAGTACCACTTATACAACCAGGTATACAACATCTATTCGCAATATTTTTATTTGTGACAAGCAAAACAGTATCTTTTTTTTTTGGTTCTACTTTCTGTAAGAAATATAAAATAATTATTAATATTAAATAAAGATTAATATAAATTTGTCATTTTTTTTTTAATGAATTAAACCTTAGCAGCAAAGAACATTGATAATAAATTTATTTTTATATCTTAAATAAGATGTATAAATTATTATAGCTATTTTGTTTTAAAAATAATATATAGAGTAAATTTAACGTTAATGATTAATAACATTTTTATGAATTTACTATATAAATTATCAAAAAATACATCAATTCTAATATTAATTCTACAAGAATTAATTCAGAATTTGATGTGCAGTAGTAAATTATATGTATAATTGTTTATTTACTTTTGTGTAATTTAGAACACTAGACTTTGTTGTATTTTTTAAATTTCCTGGAGGACTGATTAACACTTTTTCAGTATTAATATCTGATGACTCCATAGCGCTATATGTATCTATATAACAAAATGCATAACAATGAATAATCTTCTATTTTAATAAACATACTGTTTATATTTTTAAATATACCTTAGATATGATTTTTGAATATTTTGTTTATAAATTCTAATAAATTACTACTATATATAAGTTATTTAATTTTTAAATATTAATTTAAGATGTAAAAAATAATCATTTCTTTAACTTGATATTGCTTGTTTGATATATTTTATCAGAACCATAGTAGTTTTACATTTATTTGTTTATAAAAAAGATATTATAATTACAAATTAAATAAAACAAAACAATTAGTTAAGTAGACACACTTACACAAAATATATTAACAAAATTGATTTAGTTCTCATTAATGCACTACAGGAAGACTATTACAAAATTTACAAAAAAATGAATATCAACATTTTTAAATTAAAGTTTTTATATAGACTTTTAAGACCTGTATAGAAATATTAAGATAATATACAACTAATATTAATATTTGTAATTGAAAAAAATATATCTTGAATGGATACTTATTATTCTACATGGATAAGTACTTTTGTACATGATAATAATTTAATTTTTATTTGCAAATAAAAGTTAAAATTAAACCTAATATTTATTGTTATTTAAATTAAAAAAAACAGTTAATATAGAAAAATTTCAAATAGAATTGATTATAAAAATGATGATAAATTTGAAAAAATAATAAATGTATTTATGTTCATCAGAATTATCTGCAAAAACTAAAGAACTATATTTAGGATAAATATTAACTTGTCCAATGAACGTACTATCTCGAAAATAAGTAGAAATATCATAAACCAAAACAAAACATTTTTTCCTCTTCAATTCTTTAAAGAATAAGTATTAAAAAAAAAAAATTATCTAGAACAATTGTCCAAAAGCCCGGGAAATACAACTAATTCCAATATCTATTAATTTTTGTAACATTTGATAAGTTATCATATTATCTCTTTTTATAAAAAAAGGAGAACCAGAACAATCAATATCTAAAATTTAATACTAACTTCAGAATAATTATTTCAAGAGTTGGTATAACTTTAAAAATTAACCTATATCTAAGCAACATTCAATTCAAAATAAAAATTTATCTTTGAAAAATGTAAAATACTATTTTAAGGATAAGAAATAAAACTTAAGTTATTCCCGAATTATATATATATATATATATATATTACCAGATGACAAAATATTACTTAGTAAAGTAAATTTTGAATGATAATGCGTGTTCTAAATTTGCAATTAAGTTTTAACTACTTATTTTCACTGAAATAAGTAAAAATACAGACTTGGAAGATATATTCTTAGACCGTGTTTAAATAAACAAAAAATTGTACTTTGTATTATAGACAGAGCCGTAAAAAGGGGGATAGAGGTGTCTACGCCCCCACCGCAAAATCGTAAAATGAATAATTTTTTTTAAAAATTGTGATGTCTGTTATGTTTTGCGTACAACTTCAATGCCATTTAGATTTATTAGTCTTCTTCTTTTTCCTCGCCTTAATCCCAACTATTTAGAGTCGGCCACCCGTATCTTAAACTTCCACTTGACACAATCTCCCATATCCTCAACGCGATATGAGCGTATTTAAATTGAGCTTATAATAAAAAGAAAGTTGGATCCTTTGTTATGGTGGAATGTGAGAAAAATGATGTTTCCTGACTTATTTGATCTTTTATTGTTGAGATTATGTGTTTCTTCAACTTCTGTTCCGTGCGAACGGACATTTTCTAAAGCGTGATACACAATTACTGAAAGACTTACAGTTAAAAATCAGAGATGTTACTGTTTTTGAATAGTATATTATCAATATCGAGCTGTCGTCTTAATGCTCATCTGTAAATCTATAAAAATAATGCAAGTTAGCTAATGATCTCGGTTTTAGAGCAAAGTTTTCTGATAAACGATAAGGGAAAGTAAAAAAATTAGATTTTGAATTAATTGAAGACGATATGCAAATTAAAAGAAGTAAATTCAAAAAAAATATATGTGAAGTTTATGATCAAATTCTTACAGAACTAAAAAATCGATTTGAAAAAATTTCTGAAGTTTGTGAAGATCTTGAATTTTTGTATGGTAGTAGCTCGATAAATAACTCATTTGACTATATACAAAAATGTTCAATTGACCTATCCCTTAAGTATGAAATAAATCTAAATGCTTCAGATTTTATTTCTGAAATAAAAGATTTTAAGTCTCAAGCATTATCTCTTTTACCCGACTTAAGAGTCACAGCACCTTTAGACCTGCTTCAATTAATTACAAAATATTATTTACGTGCTAAGTATACAAACGTAGATATAGCTTTACGCATATTTTTGACTTTGCCAATAACTATGGTGACGTATGAAAGATAATTCAGTAAGTAAAAACTTATTAAAAACTCTTTAAGATCGACAATTGGACAAGATCAAATATCTAATTTGTCTATTTTATTTATCGAACATATATTGATAAATACTTTAGATACAGATAAAATTAATGACATTGCTGGGAAAAAGTTGGAAAAATTTTTATTTTATAATATTTAAAATTAATATTAAATAATGTTATGTTTTTTACACATTACGTGCTAAATATTTATATGTTGCTTATAATTTTTTTTGTAAACTTTTATTTTAAAAAGTTACAGATTTTTTTTTAAATAGTTTTAATGATTTTACTTAAATTTATAAATTTACAAGATTTGGAAATCTTTTAATATACACCCCATTTAATATGTAAGGTTGTCTTCCTCAAATAAATCTGATGAATTATATTCATTATTAGCATTAATACTAAAAAAAGATACCATTATATGGTTATATAAATATTATATATATTACTTTATATTATGTATTCCATAAAAATGATATTTGTAGTATTTAATTTAACTTAAATAACTTGCAGGATCCTTGGATTTGCCACTGTAAGGTAATACTAACTAAACCTTAATATATAGTGAGCAATAATAATTGTATTAATTGTTTTAATAAATTATTTTATTCGATATATTTACAGATAAACATTGAATTGGCACTGCATGAACCTTTAATATTCGTTTAGGCTGAGGAGAGTAATTGAGCAATATCTCAATTAAAGGATATCTATTTATCTTATTTTTGTTTCCAATATATTTAACAAAATTTTTAAGTTTTATAATTAAATCATAAGTTAAATAGTAAATTATGAGCTATAATGAAATATTAGTCAATAAAAATATTAAAAGTTTTTCTTGTTAATTAATTTTATCTATGTATTTTAATATTGAATTTATAACTTTGAAGTAAAATTACAAGGATATTTTTAAGTTATCAGAATGACTTATTTATTAAAATTGTGTAAACCAATTTAAATTTTATTCTATTAATCTAGAAAAGTACTGTTATAATAATTGTTAATCCCGTATAAGCTCATTTTGGTATTTTACAAATTAAATTAATTTATAATTTAAGTATATATTTTTATAAAATTAATAATATTACTTTTTAAAATTGAAAATTGTACCAGTTTTATTTACCAGTGAGTTGTTTTACACTTAATGGTGTGAATAATTTTCCTAAACAACAAATTGGCGACAAATTCCCTGATTATTATAATTCGATGGACAGATATTTGAGAAAATTAACACTGAAGTCAAACGAGTTAAGTAGTTAAAGCGCCAAATTCAAATAATAGGTTGAACAATATTTAAGTGTCATAAATGTATAGTGCAGTAAATAAACTGCATGGGAGAACGTCACTCGGCTGAATATTACGATAAAAGGAATTCTATCATTACCAATAGTACTCGGTTGCGTTCTATCGTGTCCCGCGGGTTAGAAAAAAGGTCCATAAGAAATCTGGCAACGTTATCGTTCCATAAGTCTGTATAATTAAAAGGGACAGATCATTGAAATTATTCATTATGATTACCAATACCATGTTGCCAGTTTGCTTATTGACATATTTTATTTGAATTTGTTGCCGTTTTTAAAATATCTGTTTCATCTGCCGAAAACGGTTGTTTGAATTTGTCGCTCAAATATACTAAAATTAATAGACCGTCCGGTTGAGTTATTTTCCTATTTGTATAGTAAATATATTACATTTATAAAATGTATGCTGTTTGTTATGTCGACTTAGTCAATTTTTAGTACAAATTATTTAAGCACCAATTTAACTACATTATAGTTATTCGTTTTTCTTCTGTTTTTAGCAGACATATTTGTTACATTTATAGAAGTTTTAAATTTTAATTTGACATTCAATGTATAATATAATTAATAATAATTCAATTGGATATGCACTGTTATAACTTTTAATTTAAAATTATAAATAATTGTTTACAAAATTGTGAACTTAATAATTGTATAAAAATGTTATATAAAAATTGGCTGAAATATTACGAAATGTATATATATATATATATATGTTATTTAATTAGTTTTAGAGAGTTATTGATTTATCATTGACTACTAAATTTTTCCTAAAGTAATAATAATAATCTTGGTAATATTTTTTTTGTCCTTGTTGAGTAATTTTTAGGTTCATCCTTTATCTTATAAGGGTACAATTTTTTTTTTTTT